GGCTCTGGCGCATTTTGGGGGCATCAAATTCGGACCACAGATCTGGTCATAGCAACTGAAGGATCGATTTTTACGGCTTGATCATGATGTTGAATCAGTACACTCTGGTCAGAGTATCGTAAAACGAACTCCTTCACCCAAAATGGTTTGCCCATTGTTTGGCATGGTTCTCCAAATTCTTCAGGAGCAAAAATTATTTCTGGCAAGGTCAGCTGGAGGTGCTTGCACTTTGTCCAGATTCAAAGTGTGCTTGAATCAACATCTGCGGTTCGCATGCACCCATAGCAAGCGTCATGCCAAAGATGTGAAGTCTGGTTATATGCAAAGGTATGTATACAACCTACACCCTTCAGGTTTTGGTCACGATAGGGGGTATGAGTCAAATGTTCAGGTCCGGTACTTGTAGACTATTTCTGTATCTATATATATATATATATGTATTATATATATATGTGTGTGTGTTTCAAACCATCGTGTTTAGGTACCCGAATTTGACCCCTATCCACTGCAAGGAAACTTAAACACTAGCATCCAAAGACTTTGATGTCAAAAAAATGCTGGACCGCACGCAGATCATCTGAAACCCTTGGAAGGTTTTGGTTGAACGGAACGCTAAAAATCGCAAGCAGCACCGCTCCACATCCGCTGAGATCATCTTTTTGCACTCACTCGAAAGGAATGTGATCGAACCTCGGCCCAATGGGATCGAAAGTGCGAAATCTATGAATTGAATGGATGAATGGATTTACGATCCAATGTTGAAGGATTTACCCAATGTTGGAGGCCGAAAAAAGAACGCGTTCCTTCAACACTTCTCCAATCGAAAAAACGAAAGTCCAGACTTTCAAAATCTCCCCAATCTTCGAAAATATGGTCCTTGGCGCTGAGCTGGGAACATATTGTTGGCGCCTCCAGGAATGATCACAGTCATCCCCTCCAACTTCGGCCTCCAGATTTCCACATCAATCCCCAAGGCCAGAATCCAAGAGACGCAGAAAATTGGACCGAAATTGGTGCATCATTCTACTAAAGCTTCCATTGGCTGGGGGCTTTTGTTTTCATATTTTGACCTATCCCCAAATGTTGGAGTCACTCAGAAATGCTATTTTTCTGCTATTGAACAAATTGCCCAAGATCTTCTGTTGATTGGCTGTGTACCTGGGGTGGATTCTAACCCCCAATTTCACCCAGTGGTTGGCCTTTCTAAGGACATGTGGCAATTCTTATTGCCCAAACACCATGTCAATTCACCATTTTTGGTGGCTTAAGCAACTTGAGTCCGTGTTTGATTGGTGAAAAGCATTGAAATGCAAATATCATGTTGTATTCCCCTTTTATTGTTGGTTTTCATGGGACCTACATCCGCTCCAGGTTCAGAACCGACTGACACCGCCCAGCGACGACAATCGCAGTTGACATCCCAGACGAGACGTGTCGCTCGGTTCGAAAGCCAGCTCGATCATGTCCTTTAGAGAGGGCTTTGGAGGTTATCGGATCTTGGGGAATTAAGTTCCTAAAAATGGATTGGACAACATCTGCTTGTGCTCTATAATACTATAACTTACAATGAAAGTGAAGTTCTTTTTGCACTGACCATGGGCAAAGCCCATTGTTCCAAGATGCTCCCAGCTCTTGATCTGAAATCATTTGAGATAAAAATATGCCGCACCCATCCAACCCACAAAGAGTCCAAAGAGTGTTGGTGGGCGAGAAATGAAATAAATATATATATATACATATAATTATATGTATGCAATAATCAAAATGGTGCAACCAAAAGTTTACCATGATTTTTTGCAAGCTGCTTCTCCGGAATGAGTTCCCATCTCGAATTGGGAAAAAAGTGGCTGCTTCTGAAACCCAATGGAGCAGCGACCCTGCAGAACAGGCCTGAAACCAAACTATAACTATAACGCTCATGGTGATGCAGTACCAGTGATGTAAGATCTTGGAATCAAGTCGGAAAACTGGAAACGCTACCTAAATGTATCTGCCTGGGTCACAATTGGGCACAGAGGGGTTAAAGCCCTTCATGTGTGCCTCCAAAAATCCAACCAAATCGCATGAAAAATCAAACCGTCCCCTTCACTGCAGCTGCACCTCCTCTGCCTCCTCCGCTTTGCCTCGAGAGCTGCCAAGAGATCTGCCCGAAGAGTTTTGGCATCAAAATGGGTCAAAATATGTATATATAGATCTTCACCCCAAAAACGGATGAATTTTGCAAAACAAAATCACCAGTAAAAAATCTCGGGAGTGAGAGTGCAGGGTTGCTGCCAAGAAGTGCGGGATTCATTCTAGCTTCAAACTTGGGGATTTGAAGAAGGAAAATGATCGGAAATGATCAGATTCAGCCGCCAAAATTGGAACATTTGCCCCCCAAGCTGGATTGTCTGAATTACATATAATGAATGATTCACCAGCCTAAATACTGTCATTTTGGGATAGTTACGACTACTCGCCATGGCTTCGAGTGACGTCGGGGTTAGTTCCTGAAAAATCCCAAAAGTTGGTTCTTCGCAGCAAAAGCTCTGAGACTGAGCTTAACCACCTCATCCAACTTCAAAACCCACCATAAATATCTCAAACATTCTCAAACCATCCAGATTCTGGAGATGGTTCTGGAACCACTGGGACTGAGACGTCCTGAAGACTGCAGTCTTAGTTCCATGCCTGCAAGCTCGAAGGAGCTTTGATCCTGATGGCATTGATGTCTCAACTTCACTTCACCAAAATCACCAGTTTGCTCAACATTTAAAAAAAAAAAACGCCAATGCCAATGATTGAATCAAGGACATCACACACCACAAAAAACACCACAAAAATCAGAAGTCAGCAGGCTTCTGAAGCGCGCTTTCTATCTCTGCCACACAAGGCGCCATACCTCAGCACTTCTGCACACAAAATCTGCAGCCCTGCGGCGCATCGGCCGTGTCGCCCATGTCCGGACCCGGTCTCCTACCGCCGATCATCACCGGGGGAGTTGGGAAAAAGAAACGAGGACCGGGGATGGGTCGATTTGGTGTTCCTTTTTTGCGAAGAAAAAGGACGTACATCTACCAGTACCTGTTTTTTGACTATGTGAACAATGTGATGGTCCGAATACTTCTCAATGCAAAAAAAAAACATGGTTCCCAACGGGGCCAAGAAAATTTGACCCATACCCATGTCTTTTGCCGAAGCAAAAACAGCAGAAAACACATCTCTCAAGAAAATCGTTCCCCCGGTAAAGTCAGGACACAAAAGCTATGCCAGAGCGGGACGGCTCTAAGGCCAAATGGCCAAATGGCCGCTGCAACTCCAGCGTAGGTGTGGGCGTGTGGTCTTCAAGCGAGGCGTCGGTCTGTGTGCTGGCGGTATCTTGGTTGGCAATTAGCCATAGCAATACGTATGAGATTGTACAACGAGTGACACAACGACCCAAATTGATTTGGGCCTTCCCAGGACAAGCGGTGACACGTGATCTGCGTTGGGATCATAAATTTCGGCTTGAGAAAGGCTGTCCCGCTGTGCTGTCAGTGCTGGCTGCAAGGTGGATTTTGGTATCTTTGGGTCAGTTTGGTGAGTTTTGTGATTTTGGTCATTGACTTCCTCTGTTTTGGCCCAGAAAATGTGGTGCCGCTTCAGCTCTTTCCGATAAGCCCTGACAGCATGTCCTGGCCACAAAATCAGAACCGATGCGAACAAAATGCCGAGCTCTGGCAGTATTTCGACCCTGAAGAATTTGGCATTCTGGATGGTTTTTTCTAATGGAACATCCTATTTAAAAAGGATGAATTAGACCCCCATTCATGGAAAAATCTCTATATAATGTGCCAAAAAAACAAATCTGCATGACATGACTCATTTCTGGCCTGGCATTCCTGGCACAGCCGCGGCCATAAGTGCTTATTGGCTGCTGCCAGAGCAACTTTTCAAATTGCGTCTGGGCTGATCTTCCGTAATCCCAGTTCTCAAAAAGTCAATGTTGCGACACTGCAAAACTGAGAAACGACACAGGTCAGGAATGTCCTGAAGTACCACAGAAGATCCATCCAGCTCTCGCTATTATTTGAGGGCGTGCAGTTACTTCGAGACTCATAGAATCCATCGCCCACCAACCTGTGGCTCGCAAGCCCAGGGGATGGTTGTCCGCAAAATGAACCACAACCCTGCTACCTCAAGATCCTTTTCAGCCAAGATACACCTATGCCATTATATCCTCCCAAATATCAACAGATACATGTCTGTGCAAAAAAAACATGTCCCATTTTTGGGATCATTTTACGTCATACCAAATCAGCTAATCATAGCACTATAATCTTGTTTGGCATATGCCGCGCAAAGGCACAGCCAGTTGGTTTCCAAAAGCTGGGAACAAAATTATTCACATTTCCAGTACCTAGGGTCCTATGGTTTACGGTAGAAGGTAGATATACCTATAGAATCCACAGTTGATGGCGTCTATAAACCAACATATTTCCGGGGGGGGCTACATTCTACCACCTATCACACTCGTCCAGCCGGAGAGCATCCAGCTGTTTCTCTTGAGGTACCAGGCAGTCCACGTCTTTACCGAGCCTCAACGAATTAAGTGTCCGCTCGCGTTCGGCCGCGAATGCTGGGTGCGCTGTGTAAATAGCGCCGGCCGACTGGAGCGAGGAGAGATCTCTATGGAAAACATATTTCGACATATCAGGGTCACCTTCGAAAGAGGCCACCCATCGTACTTTGACGCGTCCAAACGACCAAAAGAAAGCGATGTCATGGTGCGACTGCTGCTTTGACTGCCCATGCAAGTTGTCATCCAAAGCTTTGTGGCCGCGTCTGCCTGACAAGCTGACTCTGTTGGATGCCTGGCTCTGTGGTTCCACATGGGTTTGTCTGAAAATAGGGCACCCCCAAATTTGCTGCTTTGAAACTTCGCATTTTCCTACTTCTTCGGCCATGTGTTGGTATCGGGTAGCCCCTATTTCTTTAGACAAACCCACATCAGCATCCTCCAACCTGAAATTCAGGCTGGTTCAGCAAGCGGCTTGGCTCAGCAATCGGAAGATGCGCTTGAAACTCTTGGCACAAACCTCGGTTCTCCAGCGCGGCAGGCTGAGGTTGAGGATGAGAAGGATTAGTATCACCATCATCATTAGTATAATAGTAACAACAACTTCATGATTACCTGCTGTTGCTATTATAATTTTCATTGCTACTATTACTATTACTGTTCCTATTATCATTGCTATTATTATAATTACAACTGTTGATATTGTTGGTAAAACGATTTGGATGTTGTTCTTTTTGAATGAAATCATTGTGGTCATCATTGCGAAGTGTTCTTTGCGACTGTAGTCGGCGTCATCATCGTCATCGTCATCATTGTCGTCATCATCATCATCAGCAGCATCATCATTGCATGTATATATAGTGTTTAAAGTCTCAAAGTCAGAGATCTATTCAGAGAGTATCACAACCAAGGCAAATCAATGTGGCCATTGGGATATCATCAACAACAAACCTTGGGATATGACAGTGCCAATCAGAGAACGAAATAGACATCGTACATGTGGATGTGGTTTTGTCTAAAAATAGCGCACCGCAAAATATCATGGATAATTGTCATGTCAATGTGTAAATATAAACAAACATATGTTGTATAGATGTATATATACATATATTACCCTCCAGTAAATTAGCATAGACCCTGCCAGATAGGGGTTGGAAGATTAGTGTCCATTAAAAATGAGCTATTTTCAGGGTCTATGTTTATTTACCAGAGGGTAAGTATATATTATACATACATATATATATATATTATTATTATTATTATTATTATTATTATTATTATTATTATTATTATATATTATATGATATATAATATGATATATAATATGATATATAATATGATATATACATAATAATATGATATATATCATATTATATATCATATTATGTATATATATATATCATATTATATATCATAATATATATCATATTATATATCATATTATATATTATATATTATATTATATATTATATAGTATATCATATATCATATATTATATTATATATTATGTATTATATATTATATATTATATATTATATATTATATACACAGGGGTATACTCCATTGTGAGACAGACCCCTGTTGTCTTCACTGTCACACCAGGTTCATGGGGCAAGTTGTCCTCTGCTTTGGTATAGCCAGTTCAAAGTGCAGCGCATACAATATGTGTCAATGTTGGCAAGTAATCAACTATAGTCAACTAGAGTTAATCCACACGTTTCATTGACAATGATTACTGTTTACTGTTTAAAAAGGTCAATGAAATCCCAGGCTCATTAATTTATACATGTCAGTGTAGGATCTGGCTGTACCTGCCAGGCCTGGCTGTTCAAAAAAAAACACGTCATATCTCCAGTAAATGCTAGATTTACTGCACAGATTGAAATTAATTTAGGGCATTTGTTGCTGAATCACATATCTCCATGGAAAAAAATCCAGTATCCCATATCAAATCCAAGTATAATCAGATCATATGTCCCAGTCCCCGTTGCCCTCCGGTCGTCAAACGTGGCTGGCGGGAACATCCCCTATAGAAATGGCGCTTTGAATGGGAAAATCAACTAAAGAAACAGGGCGTTTTTCAGCCAGCCATGTTTGATTACCAGGGGGGTATCCCAATATACCCTCTGGTAATTTAACGTAGCTATTGAAAATGGCCATTTATAGTTGATTTACCCATTAAAAATGGTGATTTCCAATAGCTATGTTAGTTTACCAGAGGGTATCCCAATATACATTCCAATATGAATTATATACACTCTCCCAAATGATATGTGGTGGTTTCCATAAATGTGGGTACCCCCGTTAGCTGGATGGTTTATAATGGAAAATCCCAACAGAAAATGGATGACTTAGGGTACCCTCATTTCAGGAAACCCCGATATAGAACTCATCATTTCTAGGGAAATCATCTGTAAATGGGCCATTTTCCAAGAGCTATTTGAAATTACCGGATGCTATCTCTCATTTTTCAAATGATATATTAATATATATCATATCATGATATCCAAATTGTATCCTTATGAAAAATGGAAAGATCACCCAACTTCCACGGTCCCACCCCGCTCACAGGGTCACAGCCAGGCCGCATCAAGGTTCCACTGCAACAACTCCGTGAGCTTCGCTTCCAAGGTCTCCAGCTCCTGGCAGGGCCGAGATCGATGTAGATTTAAAGGATATGTGCAATGCACGTGTGTCTATATCTGTATATATGTATATGTGTATAGATATGTATATATATACACAGATATATGTAGACGTAGATGTAGACGTAGATGTAGATGTAGATGTAGATATGGATGTAGATGGCATACCATACTCTATATATTATAATCATATGATATCAAATATGCGGGATGTTATCAATATGGGATCTGCAAATCTTATGCAATATAACTCTATCTCTATATACATATACAACTATAGTAACCTGGCACCATTGTATTTGCAATAGTGTTGCAATATATTTGGGACTTAATATATTTGAAAGAACTATCTACATAATCATATATACATATACCCTCTGGTAATCAAACGTGGCTAGCTGGAAAATTCTCCATTGATGGTGGATTTTCCCTCTGGTAAGCCCCATTTCCAGGGGATGTTCCATTGCCACCTCGTTTAACCACTGCAGCTATGAACATATTGGGTCTGAGGATCAAGACTGCGTGTTCCAATTTCGAAATGTTCGGCCATGTCCTAGATAATAACCTTAGTTTCATGCTATACTTTTTTGAAAAACATGTTGCATAAATTGGTGGCACACTTTGCTGAAGTAATACGACCATCTTCTCAAACATTATTGCATCATCGATGGAATCTGCTGTAGACTCATGTTACACTTTCTTGGAGGAATGCTACACAGATTTGCCAAGAAATAATTCACTTTTAAAACTACATATACCTACATACATACATACATACATACATACATACATTACATACATTACATACATTACATACATTACATACATTACATACATTACATACATTACATACATTACATACATTACATACATTACATACATTACATACATTACATACATTACATACATTACATACATTACATACCTTACATACATTACATACATTACATACATTACATACATTACATACATTACATACATTACATACATTACTTACATTACATACATTACATACATTACATACATTACATACATTACATACATTACATACATTACATACATTACATACATTACATACATTACATACATTACCTACATTACATACATTACATTACCTACATTTACACCTACATACCTACACCTACATACCTACATTATACATTACCTACATTACCTACATTACCTACATTACCTACATTACATACATTACATACATTACATACATTACATACATTACATACATTACATACATTACATACATTACATACATTACATACATTACATACATTACATACATACATACATACATACACACATACACACATACACACATACACACATACACACATACACACATACGTATATATATATATACGTATATACATACATATGTGCATCTTCAAAGGAAGGCTTTCCTTGATTGACACAGATTTTGCACAGTTTGCAGTAATATGACTTTCTTTTTCGAGCAAATGCTGCACTAGTTTGAAAGAGATATTGCGGGAATTGTGCTACTGCACTCGAGGCATAGGCATGTAGCACTTGTTTACATTGCCATAATTATATTTGAATAAGTTTGTTTTAAGATTTAGGATTTATAACTACAATTTGTTTTGCATTGTTTGAAGCCATATTCTACTTTGTTTACAAAGATAATATATTGCACATTTCGAAGACCTTTTGAAAGTTGAGTCACATAGCACCCTTTTCAAAACAAAACAACATTTCCATAGAACAGTTGTACTCTTTACAAGGCCATATTGCAGAAGGTGGTGCAATACTTGCTTTACAACAAAAAATAATATTTTTCAACAGACTGTTGCATCATCAATGGAATCTACAGTAGGCTCTTGCTACACTTCCTTCCAATAATGTTGCACACTTTGCAAACAAGAATCTGCACTGATCTGCACTTTCAAAGGTAAAACACATGTTTCAATGAATGTGTCAGTAAGATGGCACTCTTTTCAAAACCATGCTGTAGTAATTCAAGAATAGATTCAATCTTGCAAAACAGCATTCTACATTCGCCTACAGGAATGCTATGATTTCTGAAATCATTCAGTACATACATGGGAGGGTTCTCCTTGAAATTGGGAAGTAATGCTACACATCTTTCAAAGAATGCAACAATAATTGCAAAAGGATGTTGCATACATGGAGGAATGGTGTTCTTTATGCAAAGTCAGTTTACAAGTGATGTTTGCATGTTGATTTTCCTTCATTATTTATAGAGAACATATTGCATAAATTGGTGCCTGTTTAAAATGCACATTTTTTAAATGCTACTTATCTTTCAAACAGTGCCACACTTTTTGCAAAGGGTTGTTACATTGAGAATGGTATTCTTTATGCAAAATCATTTTACAAGTGCAGTTTGAAAATTTATTTTTCCTTCATTGTTTATGGAGAATACATTGCAAAAATTGGTCCCTGTTTAGAATGCACATGTCCAAAAGAACTATTGCATATGTTGAGGAAAACTCCTGTAGAGATGTCGAGTCTATACATTTTTAAAGCAATGCTGCACTCTTTGGAAAGGCATTTGCACTTGTTTGTTTTGTTGTGTTTATTTATTATTCATGCTTGATTTGGCTGAAACTATGTATCTATGTAGGACATTGGGAGAGCTGTTGAGAATGCACAGTGGTTGCTTTTGTTACAGAAGCAACAATGTTTGGTTTTGGAAAGAACAGGGTTTGGTATCTTTTGCAGAAATGAAATGTCAAAAAAAAAACAAAAAAAAATGCGCTCACAACACCCCCCTCCCTTTTTTGTGTGTGATGATCAAAACTTATGAAACAGCGCGCTCCCACAGCCTGCCACTCTCAAAAAAAGGATATTGGCATCTCAAATCATCCATGGGTGGTGTATGTATATATATATATATATATATGCTCAGCCCCCCCCCCAAAACAAAAAACTAAAAAAACTAAAAAAAAAACACACAAAAAAACATAACCATGGGGATTGCAGGATCTCCAATGGGTTGGGTTTCTTTGGTTTTTTTGGTTTTGTTTTTTTTGTTTTTTTGGTTTTTTGTTGTTTGTTTTTTTGTTTTTTGGTTTTTTTTGTTGTTTTTTTTTGGTTTTCTCCCAGGGGCACTCCCCAAAGAGTCTCCAAATATTTTTTTGTTGGTTCAATGATTTTTTTTATTCTCTGCCAGGGATCCTCCCCAAAGAGTATCAGAATATTGTTGTGTTTTTGTTTGTATGAAGATGTACGTATGAATATGTACAAATAGCCGCAAAATGTGAACATGAAAAATGAGCATGTTATATTGTAAATCACAGTACAAACAGCATGTCGGGGGGTCGTGGGGGGGGTGACCATATATATATATAAATACATAGACATAAAAAGATGCCGAAAAGTGTTTCCAGCGCGGTAGTTCGATGATATGTTCCGAAGATGTTTTCCACGTGAGTCCAAGTATTCTATCTATTTGGGGGTTGCTATACATGAGTATAGATATATACACATAGATAAGATCAGATCAAATACAGATCAAACAAGATCAAATAAAACTGGTTGGTTGATTGATTGATGTGCCATTGCTGATATTCAATATCAACGTATGTATTTATGTAATGTGATGTGATGCGATGCGATGAAATACAATGCAATATGTTGTATTGGAATGTAATGCAATGTATTGCATTGCAACGTGCTGTCATGCAATGCAATGTATTGTAATGAAAAGCAATGCAATGTATTGTATTGTCATGCAATGCATGCAATGTATTGTATTGCAATGTAATGTAATACAAGGTAGAGCAATGTAATGCAACACAATGTATTGTAATGCAATGCAATATATTGTATTGCAATGTCATGTAAAGTGTGTGTGTGTGTTTGTATCTATGTATCTGTGTATCTCTGTATCTCTGTCTGGTCTAATTTTTTATATCTATCCTATCCTATCCTATCCTATCATATCCTATTCTATCCTATCTATCTATCCAACTATCTATCTATCTTATTTATATATTCTTTCTTATCTATCCTATCTGTCTTATCTATCGTATCTATCCTATCTATCTTATCTATATTGTCTGTCTTAGCTATCTTGGCTACCTTTGCTAACGTTGGTATCTTAGCTATCTTAGCTTTCTTACCTATCTTCGCTATCTTATCTATCTTATCTGTCTTATATATCTTATCGATCTTTTCTATCTTATCTATCTGTTCTTTATTTGTTAGCTATCCTAGCCAACTTAGGGAGCTATCTTACCTATCGTCGCTATCTTTGCTAGCTTATCTATCTTACCTATCTTTGCCGTATTAGCTACCGTAGCAATCTTAGCTATGTGGGGCAGCTTTGCTTTATCTTATCTTTCTTATCAATCTTATCAATCTGTCAATCTGTCAAACTATCCATCCATCCATCCATCCGCCCGTCCGTCCGTCCACCTATCCAAAGAATCTATATATGTATCTATGTATACATGTATATATATATATATGTGCGCTGCATCCATGATGAGTGTAACAGTGCCCTTGTGTACCTGGTTGATACCCTCCACCTCACTTTGGGGCCGTTCCATTTGATTTTTAGGGGCGGTACAGAAGGTTAACAACTCACTTCCAACACCGAAAATCAACTCACTCCAAACACCGACTCACTCCCAACACCAAGAACTCACTCCCAACACCAAAAATCAACTCACTTCCAACACAAAAAGCACTTTTCGGCGTCGAGGGCGAGTCGATTTTCCATTTCCCCATTGGTACTGAGGCGTCACTTCTGGAACCCCATCATAAACAAACATTACACGGCAAATGATCAACACTGAGAAACCCTTCAAGGGGATTCAACCCTTTACGTTGGGGGGGGGGAACCATCAGGGTACCATACAGGCGGAATGATCAACACTGATAAACCCTTCAAGGGGTGGGGTGGGGTGGGGTGGGATGATAACGTTCATGTTCCTATGCACACACAGGCACAGCAACCTCATCATCTTTCTTGCTGTTGAGCAGAGACAGGCACAGCTCTTTCATGATCAGTTACCGGTGGGGTGGGGTGAGTTAATAAGGTTCATGTTCCTATGCCTGCACACGCACAGCAACCTCATCATCTTTCTTGCTGTTGAGCAGAGACAGGCACAGCTCTTTCATGATCAGTTACCAGTGGGGTGAGGTGAGTTAATAAGGTTCATGTTCCTATGCCTGCACACGCACAGCAACCTCATCATCTTTCTTGCTGTAGAGCACTTACACGCACTGCTCTTTCATGATCAGTTGCCCGTGGGGTGGGGGGGGTGGGGGTGGGGTGGGGTGGGGTGGGGTGGGATGATAACGTTCATGTTCCTATGCACACACAGGCACAGCAACCTCATCATCTTTCTTTCTGTTGAGCAGAGACAGGCATTGGCGTTGATGTTGATGTGAATGTTGATGATGTTGTTGTGGTTGTTAATGTTTTTGTGTTGTCGATTTGGAGACTGCTGTTGATTTTGTTCTTGTTGTTGATGTTATCATGTTGTCGATGTCAGTAAAGAGGCGTCGAGAGCGAGTCGATTTTCGGCGCTGAAAGCGAGTTGATTTTCGGCGTCGGGAGCGAGGTGCCGACCGTACATGTTCATGGTTGTGGTGTGAACCCAAATTCTTGAATGGCTACACCCTGTGTTTGATTGCTTGTGTGTGGCCATGGATCGGGACCCTGTACCCTGTGAACATCAAGATACTGTAGCTGGCACATGTATGTTCATCCCCAGATAGAGGCATCATAAGTTTTCCACAGATTGTATAATCATATGTTATATTCCCATTTCTGGACATCACAACCCTCTCCTGAACTGTCACATTCCCTGCTGCCGCATAGACACTCGCATCCTGTGACGGAGTCCAAACAGGTCCCCATTGGAATAGCCATAGATTGAGGGATCAATCCGCCATTTAGGGAACCCAAATATCATGTCTCAAGTCGGAGAAATATATCCCATGTCAAATCCTAAAAAAAACCATTCAACCATTGATATTGGCTGGCTAAATCCCCACTTTTCATGGTCAAACCATGTTCCACCCCCATGTTTCACCATTATTGATTGATAAAATCCAAGTCCATAAATATAATACCCTCTGGTAAACTAACATAGCTATTGAAAATGACCATTTATAGTGAGTTTTCCCATTAAAAATGGTGATTTTCCATAGCTATGTTAAATTACCAGAGGGTATATGTATTTGTATAATTGGTTGGCCCAGCCGCAAAGTTGTTGGGCTGCTGCATCTTCGCTGCGATGGTGATCGCGGCCAAGAGCAATCGGTGACAAGTCCTGGGGCTCAACTCCACCTGCGCCGGTGTCGGTGACCAGCCTTGGCAGTTTTTAAAGGTGTAAACCTGACAAAAAAAAAAGATGATTTAACCTACAAAAACGGTGATTTAACCTAATATCATACCATATCTATATAATTCTTAGCACGAATTTTGATGATCATTGGATTGGTTTAGGGGAAAATCCGAAGCGGGCCCATGGTTTTTACCACCAAACATAAGGCGAGTTCCTGAGATTTTCCAATCATGCGACATCCGGGTGTTTTCTTGCATAACCCTTTTTAGGAAAATTCTGCTTGAAGTTTTGTCAGTGATTATGCATCGTGCTGCGCCAGTTTGGTTGCAGTTGCAACCGGGTGAAGCATCCCAATCTCTGACGAAAAGGCCCAAATGTGAAGATTTTGTATCGAGGGAGCCACAAAAATTAGATCATCCCGTTGAGTGCTTCAAAAACCCAGCAGATTTTTGTTGTATCCTAGGTATGACTGGATAGTAACGCCAGCTACGAGCCAATATCTTCCCAGAAAGGTCAGTACTGCCCAAACGAAATAACGAAATCCTTGTTTTTTCGGAAAAATGAGACATTTCATAATGTCAAGGAGGATGTTATGATCACAGGCGCCTTTCCAGCATTCAGCTCGGACATGCGACAGATGTACACGAAGGCATAGACGAAGCAAACAGATCTGCAACCTGCATTTCTGTAGAGGTGCCAAATGTACTCCTCGATGTCCTGGGATCGAATGGATCGAACTGCGGGACTGGGCCGGGATTGCTCCAGGATTGGGTTGATTGTGTGGTCGTTGGGACACATCAATGTCTGTCAGATCCGACCCCGACAATCAGAAATCTTTTTGGATCTACGGAATCTACGGAATCTACGTGAAACCAATAAGAAAGCATAACCATAGCTACCTTTACCACATCATTTGGACTCCTTTCACAAATTCTGAGCATCCTGTTTAGAGGCTATCGCAGCTTACTTTTATGCAAAAGTTGAGATGTCGAAATGGCAACTGGATCAGAACTCTGGCAATTGGGCGCTTGAATCAAAGGACTCACAGCCATCGGCTTCATTGGTTCATCATCAGTATCCCTATTGAAATAGAGCTTGAAAGAATGATCAAGATACTATGGTAGTTTCCAACCCGATGATTCATACTATCCAATCTTCATGGGGTTAATCAATAGTACATACTATCAATGGTTAACCAATTTTCATACTATTATTATTCATACTATTGTTGACCAACGGTTTCTTTGCCAACCCCATCGATTGGGTCGATTGGTGAACGATTGGGGTTCACCTGCTCGAGTCCGGACGGAGCCCATGTGCCTAGCCAAACATATCTAGGATAGCTAGGTAGATAGACAGATAGGAAGATCAATACATGTATAGATATATGAATATGTGTATATATATATATACATATATATATGATATATATATATATGATATATGTATATATATGTATTCTGAATGGGGTTCAGAAAGGTAGCCACAACAAGAAATGCAATCCTCAGATGAACGGCCGCGTTCTCTTTTCCCTGCAGATCTCGGAATGAAGCTCTTCTGAAATGCGACAGCTGGCCACAGCACTGAAAAGGAGTCGGCCACGACTCACGAAATGGCACCAAAACGGGGTGCAGTAAGCACTTCCCACCCACCAATCCCTATGGCTAGCCTCAGCCAAGTGCTGCAGACAGCCGTAGATGTTATATGTGTCAAGACCTGAAGCTTTGGAGTGATGAGGACCCTGGAACATGTTGGAATTCACACTCCCAAAGAATCAAGAGTTTTTAGTTTTGTTCTGAAGTTTTAAGCCATTTTAATCGGTTGCGTGCACTTGCCCTGTCTTTCAAGATTTGATCTTGGTCATGCAACTGATAAAACCCATACTTCAAAGTTTCTCGGAGGAAGCTTGTTTCCATGATTTTTGTAAGGCTGTCGGCAAGTTGGGCACCTGAATGGACCCACTTAAGCGTCACTCCTTCGGACATCAAGTCTTTGATGGCTCGGGCCAATAACTGAGTCCTGAACTCTTGGCAATTCGGAGGTGCTGTTCGCGACACCATGTCAAACAGCGACTTGCAATCAGTCACGGCTATGTCTGAGTCACTGACTTTCATGGTGGCAGTTGTTATGGAATTCGGAAGCTTATTCAGGGCTATGTTGGGTTCCTTCCATGCTGTTTGTGGGTCTAAAATCCATGCCCAATACAATCTTAACCATGACAACTGATCGAGAGTACTATTCAGGGAAGTGGCTTCAGCTGAAAGTGTACTTACCACGACCTTTTGAATCTTCTTGCAACCCCAGGATATGGGCGAGACTGGGCTTTGCACATTGTTGGCAATCTGTTCATGGGTTGTCATAATCATCATTCCAGTGTGTGAATCAGGCTGTTTCTTTGACGAGAACGATGCATCAGAAAATGCAAGGAATCTCAGTTTATTGATTGGGATTGGCTGAATGGTTATGGTTGTATCTTTATGGCGTTTGGCATCGTGGAGTACTTTGTTGGCTTCGTTCAAGGTCTGGATGGTGGCACTGTTCACAGCACTTTGCAAGAAACTCAGTCGGCTGGACAAATCAGGTCGGGTGTTGACAGATGCATACTGAAGAGATCCTATCAAGGCTCTTAGAGCCTGCTGTTCTTCTGGGGTTACTGAAAGGTCATGTTGATATTTACGGCTGGCATCGATATGGATTGGTTCAATTTTGGAAATGTATTTTTCTTGGGATAAGTTGATACTGTGATTGGAATTTTGGTGCATATCAATACCGGTGAAAGTGAATGTTTGAACTTTCTTGGACCCAAAGGGAAAGATCTTTTCAAGTTCTGCGAGCTTGGTTTTGAAATAGGCATTTCCCCCACAAAGACCGTCATCGACATGAACCCCAATGATACCTGCAATTTGTGTTGTCTCCGGTTCATATAGGACATAAACGGTGGGATCAAACGGTGAAGGAATAAACGACAATGATCTCAGCGTTCGGCCAAGCTCTTGGTACCATAGGAATGGGGCATCGATCAGTCCATACGCTGACTTTGCAAGTTTACAAACTTCGGTAGGTTTGAGCTGCATGGCTTTCGCCATTTGGGGAACTGGCTCGATGGCCAACACTCGTCCCTCCTGCGTCTTGCCTTGCAAAAAGGCGGCTTTGATGTCGAATGATGACAATTCCCAGTTCATCGAGGCAATCAACTGTAAAATCAACATTCTCGACTGTCGTCCAAGTGTAGGGCTGTCTCTTTGCACTTTGTCTAGGGCAGGATCAAGAAATCCTAGAACAACCAGTCTGGCCTTTGCCTTTTTGTCTTTACCGATTCGCTTTTGTTCAGCTTTGTCTTCTATCGGTTTCCAGACATAAATCCATCGGCATCTCAGGATTTGTTCGGCTGACAATTTGTTTCTGAGGATTTTACATACTGTTCCTGTCTTCAACCAATTTTCAACCTCTGTTTGTTTGGCCTTCTCAAACTCTGCTTTCTCGCTGGGCGAAAGAGTGCTCAGCTTCACCTCTGTTCTTTGTTTCTTTGGGTTCGACGCAAGAAAAACCAGCTCTTCCACTTGATCATGACTTATGGTGAAGCAATTGTCATCAATGGGAACATCAACCTCAAAGCGCCAAGCAAGATCGCCGGTTGTCTCCAAATGTTGGGTGTCATCGCAGTCTTGGCACAGCAAAAGATCACACACTAAGCTATCATCATCACTGTCGGGAACGGGCACTTCGTGTGCTGCAGGTGGATTCTCCGGTTTCGGCATTTCAGGCTCATGTGGCAAGGTTTCTGGTTCAGTGTCAGGCTGTTCTTGGGATTGTGATGAACTTGAGCTTTCTTGAAGATTTTCATTGGACACTTCTCGGGAATGGTTACTTGGAGGTATTATGTTATCACTGTTAACATCAGCATTCATTCTTGGTGGGGATTCTAGATTGGTTCTCATGTTGGATTCCCTCGCCTGCATTTGTGGAAGAATCAAGCTTTCATGGTCGGGAATAAGTTGAGCTTCAACAGAACTCACTGGTCGTACATGTTCAGGTGCTGCTCGAACCAAAGTGCCATGGTGCATGCTGAAAACTGAATTTTGTCCATCTTGTTGAATGAACCTTGCAAGGACCAATCCAACCTTTCTGATGTTCACTTTGTCTCCAGATCATTACCCATTCACCAGCTACATAGTTGCCCCTGTTGGGACGATTCCTGCGAAGCATTGCTCTTCTTAGTGCCATACTGTTCTCTGCTTCATGAAATGCCTTGCGTGCTGACTCCCGCATTGCCAGTTGAGTTCTGAAACGGATGCCGTGTCCATTTTCGTTGATGGCTGCCAAATGTGATGGTAGGTGATCATCACTGGCTACAGACCCAGGAACTCGGAGGCCCTTCCCAAACACCAAGACTTCTGGCGAAAATCCATGTCTCAAACTGCATGCGTTCTTTGCGGCTGTACACATGGACAGTGCTATCTGGAGTTCAGCGTAGTTATTGATACCATGATCTATCTCAAACTTGGACAACATTTCCTGGAGAATTTCTCCGTGGCGTTCCGTTTTCCCAATTTGCCAATGAGCCCCTGGCGGAATCACTGTGGCTTTGACATTGTTCTGTTGAAGAAACTTTTGGAATATCTCTGAAGTGAACTCTGTTGCTGAATCCATGATCATTTCATTTGGGGGCCCGGCCCATAAGAACCAACTTTGAATCAGTTTCTCAACAGCTTGTTCTGCGGTTCGACTGGGTGCAACACTGGCTGGTTGGAAGTTCGTACCATGATCTATGTAGTGATAGAAGTGAAAAGATTGACCATTTTTGTTGATCCAGGTGACACCATCGGTTGATATTTTGTCACAAAAATCCATTTCGGTTTTCAGGCTAGCTGGTCTGGGAATGCGTGGCTTTTGTTGCATCTGACAGGTAGAACATTGGTAGTCTTCAAGTGCTTGTATCATGGTTGTGGGAAATCCCTTCTGGCGAAGGACCTGGCTGAGAACCTGCTTAGACGGATGCCCAAGGTTCTTGTGCACTCGGATGAGGAGGCTTCGCTCCTCAGGTGGTAACGTCAAAAATCGATTTCCATGCATCTGACTCTGGATGTCGGCTGCATCAGGGTCATGGTCCAAGTCTAAAACCTTTGGCTCTTCAGGGACTCTGGGCTCCTGTACTGGTGATCCAGAGTCAGTGTTTTGGGACTGCATTGGTATTGACTCTTCCGGAGTCGGAGATTGGCTGTCACTACTGTCTGGCGGCAAATCTTGGGCATCGGTGGCAGGCTCAATCGCGGGTGGATTGGCAGCGAACACGGTTATATTCACGTGGCAGGAATGAGATGCTCTGATCAATTGTCGTTGTGAAAGATCTTCCCAATGTTCCCAATGGTCTTCTACAAGGATTTGTTGGGAATCACGGACTTCAACAATGGCTCTACGATATGGTGCTTCTCCTCGTAGAAGTTGCTTTGGAGGTCCTAGTGTGCGTTCAGTACCCTTACATGCAACTATTCGCTGGACAGTCTTGTCGTTGAAGACTTCTTGAACTTTCTCAACGATGTTTGGGTCTGTGATCTCATGCTTACCTACCCGTGGAAGCTGCTGCTTGATGCTGTTTACAATCTGTTGAACAAGCATTTTGGCATCATCTTCGGGTCCTTTTACCTCAAGTCTTCTTCTTTTCCGTGGCAACTCATTCGGTTCAATTAGTTTTGCTGCAGGCTTGAGAAACTTTTTCGGCCTCTGTACAGGTGGGGTGTCTGGACCACGTTTTCTGCCATATGCTGCAAAAACGGCGTGCCACTGATGAAATCCCTTTGGCTTTTCAAGATTGGCCTTGGCTAGAACTTTGGCAATGGTTCTGGCAAATTTTCGAGTATAGGCTTCGGACATAGTCGTTCGATTGATGGTCTGTCCGTTCACTTGGATAGTCCCTGACAACTGTTGATGTGAGTGTTGTTTGTTGCAACACCTACCATGCAATTGTTCATGCAACTTAGAAGAGGTGGTCCGCACGGTCATGCTCTTTTGAATCAACAGCTGGCTTACAGGGTCCTTCAACTCACCTACCTGGCACATGTCAAAATTGGAGGCATGCGTGAGTGCATACAGTTCGGACAGCAGTGGAGTTCGAAACATCATAGATTTCCGGGTCTGTTCCCAGTGAAGATGTTTCCCCTTTGAGAACTGATGACGCAACAACACCACGCCGAGGGCTAATTGGTACAAGTTCTGACTTCGCTGGAGGTTGATCTTGTCAAACTGTTCTAGTGATTTGTTTTCATTGAGATGGCTCCAAGGACTCCAGGGTCCACATACTGGGCTGAACCACACATGTTCTGGGTTTTGTCTCACAACGATCTCAAACAGTTTGTTCCGACCCTCCACAGTTGACAAGTCACCTTCTGCCAAACCGAATCTGCGTGAGCGGGAGTTCATGTTCTGCATTTGCTTGGTCAGCTCGCTGTTGGGACCACAAAAAACTTCAACAAGTTGCAGCTTTGGCCATTGAAGATTGTTCTTGCAATTGTGACTGCGTTTATGGACAGTGGTAAGTTCATTGGTGATTTGTATGACAAGTTCATCAAACTGTTTCTGTAGTGAATGTGGATTGGTGGTGGTGACAAAGCTATCATCCAAACCGTAATCTGGGTCCCCTGCAATCTTCAGACCAAACGCTTGCTGCTCACTGTTCAGTTCTGGCGGATGTGGTTCAGAATCTCCGTCATCGCATTTTCCATGTGGCCCATACGTGCCTGCAGTGCTGTGATCATCTCGTTGGACTCGGGATTCATTGAGGCCAGGGACCATTCGTCTGCATCCGGCTCCATTTCCTGGTGCAGGGTCATCTCTTCGTGAGGGCGATGAGATGAAGCTTGATCTCGAGGTCGTGCCTTGGCTTTGGCAAACATTGGCATCTGAAGTGATGGCTCCGTCAGGGTCATCGTTGGGGGCGTCTCGCCCTTCTCTTCCTGCTCCACCATGATCTGCACAAAGTGACGGAGCTTCAGATGGTCCAGCTTCTGGGATGTCTCGTAGGTTCGCAGGAACCATTTCATCCACTTGGGCTCGTTGTGGTACATGTCCAAGTAGGTTTTGCCCACGTGGGTTTTGCCAAAGGTCACTGTCTGTTGGCACTTCTCCTCGAAGCTCAGGGACTTGAACTCCTCCAGACTGTCGCCTTGGGCATAGGTCTGGCTGCGCTCCAGGACACGGTCGAATCGGTCGGCAAGGCTCATTTTGGCTGTCGGCACACGGATCGGATGCAACAATCGGAGGGATACTTGGACCAATCTGTTGGCTATTGATAACTGACATTCGTTCCTCATGAATCTCATGAGGCTGTTCGGAAATTAAATCTGTACCTGTGGAGCTGAATCTTGAAATTGAAAAGACACTGTTTTCGGATTTGGTGGTTTTCCTGAATTTTGTTTGTGAAGCATGTTGCGTGTGATTGGCATGGTTGTGACCTGTGTATCTTGATTGAGGTTCCCACTTCGGTCAGTTGGGTCCTGTTTGTTCTCGGAGCCTGCTTCGGTGTTGTCACAGTTGGCAAAAGTCTCTGCTGCAGTCGAAAGTTTCAGCGCACTTTGCACAAGCTCATTCAGATCAACAAGGAACAAACCACGGCTGTTCAAATGCAATTTGATAGGCTTTCCAAACACTGGGCTGTGCAGGCTGCTGGAGGAAATATCGATGCTAGACTTGAAGGCTCGGAGCAAGGTATTGGACAGCAACAAAGGAGTGTGACCCTGAACAACTGCGATCTTTAACCCAAGGTTACCTATTGGGATAACAATGGCATGATTGCTATCAAGAAGTCCTTGGTTTCCGAATCGAAAAGTCACACTGCACTTGCATCTTTGAACCTTGTTTCGCACCTTAGGATTCAGGCTTCGCAGCAACTCTGGTACGAGGGCACTTCCAATTACTGACTTGGCTGCTCCGGTGTCAAGGATCCCAAAAGATCCGTGGGTTGCAAAAAGGGCTACCTCGTCATGTGCGAGATGCACTTGGTTGGCTTTCGGCAGGGCTTTGGACGCTGGAAATCTACGGTCGCTCTCTCTCACTGGGCATTCATTCCTGAGCTCTGCGATGTCATGTTTCCCCGATAATTTATTATTATCTACCCCTGACATCTTATCCTGTTTACTCGGATTCCCCAGGTTATAGTATTTCTTACCCCGAAAAATCATGGTGAAAGCACTGGCTACTTGCGGATTGGGCTCTTCGTCAAGTGTGGCTTCGGATGCTACAGGCAGTTGCATAAACTCCAAGGGCAAAAACTCATCGATGGTCTCAGCAGGAGCGGACTCAATCATGGTGGTCATGGTGGCTGCAGTGGATGGTGCGGCTGAACCTGAACTTCGTGGTCGATCAGGGCATTCAGCCTTCCAGTGGCCACGTTTGCCGCAAATACGGCAAGAGCTTTCCATGATTCTCTGCTGCAAACTCTTTCGAGCTCCCTTGAAAGCACCCTTTCCACGGCCTTTGAAACCCTTGCCACGACCCTTGGAATTCCCAAGGGGCCAGAATCCTCGGTTCTTGGCACGGTCACTAAGTCTCTTTCTGGCTTCTGTGTAGGCATTCAAGGCAGATGCCAGCTCAGGGTCATCTTGGATGGCTTCGGTCATGGCTGTTTCATAGTCACTGATGAAGGCGGCGTCTTCATCTCCCTCTTGGAGAAGCATCTCAAGCATGTCCTCTTCGGACGGTTCTTCCATGGTGAAAGCGGTTCCTTCTGCATCATCGGTCTCTTCGGAGAAAAGAGCTGTTGCATCATACACTTTGCCTTTAGATTTCTTGAGGCCTACCATTTCATGAAAAAAACCTGATCCCAACATGCGAACTGATTGATTCACTTTGTCGATGGCGAGGACACCTTTTCCAGCGGCGTCTGACTCAAGGATAACCTTCTTCTTATCTTCTTGAGACAACAGTGATCCCCTGAGCACCACATACGCTTGGATTTCCTCCAGTGAGGTCTTCTTTGATAACAGTTCTGTCCAGTAAATGTCAGTTCTTGCTAAGTATGAATCATTGGTTTCATCACCACGCTGAGTGCACCTGAAAAGGGCTTTCTCCACCGTCTCATACTTTCTCTCAAGGTTAACCTTTCCCCATTGTCCACCTAAGATCGTGACAATGGCTTGGATGCCGTCCTTGGTACCTGTCAGAATCACGGATTTCTGCAGTTGCAGCTTCTGAAATGCTGCTCCACTCGAATTGAGAATGAGCCTAGTGGCCAGCTCATTCAATTTGTCACTCGGCCAGATTTCGGCCAACATCTCAATCTTCTGCGCATACTGTTCAAGGTCATCCTTTGAGGGATCAAACGATGGTACCAGTGTTGCAAGCTGTGTCGAAACACTAGTTGTCGCCTTTTCCTCGGTCTCGGAACTCATGCTCAAAACTGGATGGTGCGTCACTCAATGGTCACGCCACACTTGTAGGAAGTTAATTGGCACCCTGGAGCTAGTGGTAGCTCCGCTACCAATCTGAATGGGGTTCAGAAAGGTAGCCACAACAAGAAATGCAATCCTCAGATGAACGGCCGCGTTCTCTTTTCCCTGCAGATCTCGGAATGAAGCTCTTCTGAAATGCGACAGCTGGCCACAGCACTGAAAAGGAGTCGGCCACGACTCACGAAATGGCACCAAAACGGGGTGCAGTAAGCACTTCCCACCCACCAATCCCTATGGCTAGCCTCAGCCAAGTGCTGCAGACAGCCGTAGATGTTATATGTGTCAAGACCTGAAGCTTTGGAGTGATGAGGACCCTGGAACATGTTGGAATTCACAATGTATGTATATATATATGTATATACATATATATGTATATACATAGTTCTATAATGAACATAGGTATAGACATAGACATACACAGCTTACATTACCAAACACCACCTCATCCAAGGCTCCAAAGTCTCACCATGAAAGCACGTCGGGAATCCCGTTGCGGTGCCCGCGGTGCTCGCAGTGCCTGCTGCCTCTGTGATCGCCTTTCTCAGCGCTCGTCCGAAGCCCTCAATGACCTTCTCACCAATCGGCGTTTGCCGCTCAGGCCACTGCATCTCCCAATAGGTTGCCTCGCCACTTAGATACAGTACATTGCATTACACTACATCACATCACCTTACATCCCATAATATGTGTGCACATATATATATATTTAATTAATTAATTAATTAATTAATTATTTATTCATTCATTCATCCATTCATTCATTAATTTCATTAATTAATTAATTAATTCATTCATTCATTCATTCATTCATTTATTTATTTATTATTTATCATTATTTTTGTTATCATTCTTATTATATTATGTTATTATATTATATTATATTATATTATGTTATGTTATATCATGTTATATCATATAATATAATATTATATTATATACCATATCATATATAATATTTATATTGTATTATATATTATATTAAATATCATATATCATATTATATATCATATTATACATCATATTATATATCATACTACATATATCATATTATATTATTATATCATATATCATATCATATATTATATTATATATCATATATCATATATCGTATTATATATCATATTATGTATCATATTATATATCATATATTGTATTATATATCACATTAAATATCATATTATATATCATATTATATATCATACTACATATCATATTATATATCATGTATCATATTATATATCACTTTATATATCATATTATATATCATACTATATATCATATAATATTATCATACTATATATCATATAATATTATCATATCATATATCATATTATATATCATATATCATATATCGTATTGTATATCATATTATGTATCATATTATATATCATTTATCGTATTATATTATATATCACATTATATATCATATTATATATCATATTATGTATCATACTATATATCATATTATATATCATGTATCGTATTATATATCATATTATGTATCAAATTATATATCATATATCGTATTGTTAATGCCACAACACCCAATCCTTTCTCATCCATAGCCATTTGTCTCTAGGGGAGACAGCTGCTGAGACCTTTGCGCCTGCGATGGAAATGGCGCTTTGAGCTCTGAGTTCCAGGTGGAACGATAGCGGATCAAGGGGATCCATTTTGGCTTGCTATCAATATTGGTGGCGGAGCCGGCTACGGCCGGCCCGCGTGTGAAAAGCGCGGACTCAAGGGCAGGAGCCCTACGAGCACAACACCCATAGTGCATGGCAACATCCTGTTCTGGTGCCTCCTCAGCGACAGAGCATACTGGGGGGGTGAGACAGTTTTCAGGTGAGGCAGAATGCGGCAAGGAGTACAAGCGTTGGAAGCTCTGGATATCCAATAAGCTGCTTACTCTGGACAAGCTGGCTGTTGAAGCAAGAGGCCCTTACCTTTTCACTCTTTTGACTGGAAAAGCCCTGGAAGCAGTTGAACATTTGCCTCCTGCGGAGTATCAAGTCAAAGATGGTGAGAAGAAACTGCTGGAAGTCTTAGACCGGCGTTTTCCGGATAAGGACTCATCTGATGAACTGGCCGAGGTGCTCAACGACATCTTCAACATGAGGGCTCGGGATGGCGAGACACTTCGCCAATGGATCTCCCGAGCCACTGAACTGTTTGAGAAATGTGAGCGCAAGGCTGGCTGCAAGTTTCCAGCCGAGGCTCGAGGCTATATGACGCTGAAGTTTTCTGGGTTGAGTGAGGAACAACAGGCTGTGGTCAAGGGCAGGGCCCTTGGCGACTTGAAGCTTGAGACAGTGTCCAAGGCCATGAGATCTGTGTATCCAGATTTCATCCACAAACGTAGAAATGCAGCGGCGGTAGTTGAGGAAGTTGATCAGCAGTCCCTCGACAACAGCTGCGACGAGGTACAAGGCTTTGATGATGTTGAAGCATTTCTCACTGACTATGTGCCACAGGACACTTCTGAACAGGTTGATGAACAATTTGAAGAATCAGAAGTAGCTGAAATCCTTGCAACAACCTGGAAAGACAAGAGACAGGAGCTGACTAAGCTGCAGCGTGCCAGAAAGTTCACAGATGCCAATGTGGCTCGCCGCAGTTTTAGAGTGGAGATCGAAGAGCTCAAGAAACGTACGAAATGCAACAGATGTGGTCGTCTGGGCCATTGGGCCAGAGAATGCCGACAAAGTCGTGATGGTTCTGCCGGTTCGGGCAAGAGCAAGGGCAAGGGCAAAGCTGGAGAAACTGCTGTGAGCTATGTGGAGCAGGTCACCGAGGATGCCCCTGTGAACTTCATAGCTGCAGTAACTGCTGAGGCCTCGATGTTGCAACAACTGAGGGCCAGACGCCAAGGCTCTCAATGTGAGCCCTCGTCTGAGATCTTGCTGGTCTCATCACCGGGATATGGTGTGCTGGATAGTGGATGTGGAAAAACCATTATAGGTCGCAATACACTGGAAAAGTTTCAACCTTTGTGGCGTGAGAAATCCATACCAGCCCCCAAATTCAAGAATGAGGTCAACGTTTTCAGATTTGGCAATGGTCATCAAGAAGTTTCCAATGTTTTGGCTGAGCTTCCTGTAGCAATTGGTGGTAGACGTGGTGTGATTCAAGCTGCACTAGTGGAAGGGGATGCTCCTCTGTTGATTTCCCGTCCAGCACTGAAGACGCTTGGAGCAGAATTGAATTTTGCTGATGATTCTCTGAAGCTGTTCAATGATCGCATCAGTGTGCCACTGTCCACCAACACCGCGGGACAGTACGTGGTCAATGTAGTGGCCTTCAACGACGTGAACGAGCAGGCGGGAAGTCGCATGTCCAAAGATGAAGCCATGCCGTCGAAAGCCATGCAAGAGGTCCAGGTCCATGTAGTAGAGCCCAACTGCACTGCCGAAAACTCCATACCCATAGTCCCTAACCATAAATCTGAACAATCATCCAGTAACCCCCATGATATAACTCTCAGTAAAAGCTATAACAATCAAAATAACTTCAATGAAAACTGCCGCAGCAGGCATCCGTCCAAGAAACCTGCCGAAGTCATGTCGGTTAGCAAAAAGACTGGTGTCACCAAGAAACAGTTGCGCAGTTTACGATCCCAAGTGAAGCATGCTCAGAGACCTCTGGGCACCAAGTACGCAGTAGTTGAGGTTTTCTCTCCGCCCCGTTTCACAACACAGGTGGAGATCATGGGCTTCAAGGGCCTTGCAATTGATCTGAAGCAGGGTTGGGATCTGACAAACAAAGACACACAGGACTGGGTTGCCACTGAACTTGATAGGTATCCACCGGAGTTACTTGTCATTTGTCCTCCATGCACCAATGCAGGAGGCTGGTTTAACCTAAATTCATGCTACATGAGTATGCGAGAGGTCCTTCAGAAAAAACTGCAATTGAAGAAATTCATGAACTTCAGCAAGAAATTGATTTTGCAGCAGATTCGTCATGGTGGACGGTTTCTGTTTGAACATCCGAAGCCCTCTGTAGTGTGGAAAGATCCTGAGATGTTAGAGCTTTGTGAACAGTTCTACAAGTTGGAAGTGGACATGTGTCAATACAACCTCCATCTTCCGGCTGTCAATGATCGCCCCAAACAGCTGATCAGGAAGGCGACGACCTTATTGGTAAGTCATGAAGACATGTCAGGGTTGCAACGCACTTGTCCAGGAGCTACACGTCCTGAACACGCCCATCATGCCACCATCGCCGGAGGACATCCCGGCATCGGTAGCGTCAGTCAGCATGCCGGAAAATACACTCCGGAATTCGTGAAGGAAGTTTTGCAAACCGTGCCAACACTGAAGTGTGATGAGATCCTAATCATTGACGATGAAGTTTTGATTGCACAATCGATATGTCATGAGGTACTTGCAGGTCAGGTAGAAGCCGATGCCCCAGAATCTCCAGATGGTCCCTCCGAAGAACCTGTACCAGAGAATCAAGATGATAAGATTGTAAAATCACTCATGAAACTTCATAAGAATCTCAGTCATCCCTCAAATGCAGAGCTGATTAGAGTGCTGAAGCACGGGCAAGCCTCCGAAAAAGCTTTGAGCCTGGCCCGTGAATTGAAATGCCCAATGTGTGAAGCAAGACGTGCGCCGGCCATCCCTCCACCGGCGCAGACTTCACATGCAGTTGATTTCAACCAGCGTGTCGGCATAGATGTCAAGCACTTGCAGGGTTGGAAGGTGAAACAAAAAGTTAAAGCACTGAACATTGTAGACATGGCTACAAGTTTTCAACTCATGGTGCCGTTTTTCGAAGTTGAAACCGCTGGTCTCCTCAGGAAACTTCTGAATGATCGATGGCTGTCTTGGGCTGGCTGTCCAAGAGAGATCATTATGGACCCTGCTCGAACCAATTTGGGTCGTGCGTTGACTGAGCCAGCCGAATTGGAAGGCACTCACATTTCCACCACTGCAGCAGCCGCCCACTGGCAACATGGCAAAACTGAAGTACATGGTGGACTGTTTGCAAAAGTCCTAGACAAAGTGTTGGCCGAAAGGAATCCTTCCAATCAAGATGAGTGGTTAGATTGCGTGAGACAGTGTCACGTCAAGAACAGTACCATTCAAACCTATGGTTTCTCTCCTTGCCAACATGTTTTCGGACGTAATCCTGTGTTGCCTGGTGATCTCTTGACAGAACCACAAATGGCAGTTCCTTGTACAGCCCCGTTGCAGGATGAAGCCATAGCAAAAACCTGCGCTACAAGAGCTGCAGCGCGCAAGGCGTTGGTAGAGTTGCAAGATTCAAAGGGTCTTCGTAGAGCATTAGCTGCCAGGCCGCGTCGCAATCTTGCCTTCAAGTCAGGCGACATTGTAGCATACTGGAGAGACCAAAAATGGAACAATGGCAAACTCACCAAAGGTGGAAGATGGTATGGCAGTGCTGTGGTTATTGGACATGTTGGCAAGAATGTCATAGTGGCCCATCGAACACACATTCTGCGCTGTGCCCCTGAACAAGTCAGACTGGCTACAACTGAAGAGAGGGCTCTCATTGCTGACCCGGAGAATGAATTGCTAGGCATCAAAGACCTTATAGAAGGTGGCACGTTCAGAAGCTCGCAGTATGTGGATTTGCTGCATCAGTCATATCCTCCGACTGATGATGTCGTCATGTGTCCTGAGGGTCTCGAAGTTAGCGCTGAGGCACTTGGCCGTGCAATCCCGTCACCGGTAGATGCTCCGAAGCCTGATGAACCCGATGTCAGCATGCCTGATGCGTCTAATGAAGGCGCAGTAGAGTCAGCAGCCTCACAACCTTCGAATGCACAGACTGACACCAGCCAAGCTAGTGAACCACAGGTTCCAGTCATTGACAAGTCACCGGCAGAAAGTAGTCCCAACACCAGTGGAGTAGATAGTGTTTCCTCGCCTGAGTCAACCTATGGTCCAATGCGTAGGATTGCTGCCAAGTCGGGTCCATCAGCCTTGTACCGACCCATGCCAATGCAGCATGATGACTTTGTTGAAGTCATGCAGGAAGTTTTGCGCAGATGCTTGAGGCTGCCACCAGGGGTACCAAGAGGGAGTCGTCCGATAGTACAGATGCACCTGCATCCAAACATGTCAAGGCTAGTCATGGTCATGAAACACATGTAATCCATCATGAAGTCCTTGCCGCCCGTCATGAGTTGTCCAGTAGTGAAGCACATGAATTATGGCATGATTTTATGAAAGATGGTAATCACGAAGCCTTGGTAGCACAGTTCATGCAGAAACGAGCACAAAAGGAGATTCCCCACAGCAAAAATGAACCCTGGTTGCAAGCACAGGTGGATGCGGCCAAGGTGAAGGAATGGAACACTCTCATTGACAAACAAGCTGTTCGTTTGGTGCCAAAACACGAAGCTGATTCGATCTTGAAACATCAGAAGCATCGCATCATGGGCAGTCGTTTTGTGATTGTCAAGAAAGCCATGGAAGATGTTATCGAGAATGGTATCATTCCAGATCCTAATAACGCTGAGCACTGGAAGGTGAAAGCACGTTTTTGCCTGCAGGGTCACCTAGACCCTGACCTGTCACAAAAGGCATCACAAGGCATGTTGCAAAGTCCGACCTTGTCGCAGATCGGCCGTACTGTCCTGTTTCAGATGATGTCTTCACACAAGTGGCAGTTACAACTTGGCGATGTGCAGGGAGCCTTTTTGGAAGCTGGCCCTATCCCTCAACAATATCGTCCTTTGTATACGTGGGTCCCACCTGGTGGTATTCCTGGTGCAGAAGACTTTCAATTGATTGAGGTTTTGGGAAATGTTTATGGTCAGAATGATGCACCTGCAGCTTGGTATAAAGTGTTCGACGCAGCTGTTCTTCAAACTGGTTTCCAACGTAGCAAATACGATCCATGTTTATATTTTCTCAGGTCATCCAAGACAAACAAACTTGTTGGTGTTCTTGGTTCACATGTTGACGATACAGCAACTGCGGGAGAAGGCGAAGAATATCAACATGCTCTGAATTTGCTACGACAAAGATTTCCTTACAGAAAGTGGCGTTTGAATGAGGGTCAGTTTTGTGGTTCACATTACAAACAAGATCCTACAGATATGTCCATTCTCATGACTCAAGAGGATTTCACTGATAAGCTGAAACCTGCATTTATTCCAACAACACGCAGAAAACAACGTGCTTCGCAGTTGACTGCCAAGGAAATCAGTGTTTTGCGTGGAATTAACGGTAGTTTAAATTGGCTTGCAGGACAGACACGACCGGATCTGTCATCACAAACCAGTTTGTCACAACAGGCGTTTCCATCACCTACAATACATCATTTGTGCGAAGCCAACAATGTGATCCGACGTGCAAAGATGAACAAAGATCTGGGTATTCGTTTTCTTCCAATCAATCCTTCAGATTTGCGGATAGTCTGTCATGCTGATGCTGCTTTTGCCAATGTAGGAGAGTTCACACAAGCCGGATATATTCTAGGTTTTACCTCTAGCGAACTTGATCAGGGTGAAAAGTCACCATGGACTCCAGCAATTTGGCGTAGCTTTCGCCTACCCAGAGCGGTGGGTTCTACGTTAGCAGCAGAAGCACAGTCAATGGTCAGTGCAACAGGCACACTGGAATGGGCTTCCCTCATTCTGTCTGAAGCAATTGATGGACCGTTTGATGTCCGCAATTACGAAGAGATGCTGAAAGTGCGAACACCAGTGATAGTAACAGATTGCAAATCTCTCTATGACCACCTTGTTTCAGTGTCATCACCTACTGCTGTTGAGGATAGAAGGACTTCCATTGATATAGTGATTCTACGACAGAGCATTCTTCGAATGCAGGCATCAGTGCGATGGGTTCCTACGAATCGAATGTTGGCAGACTCGTTGACAAAGAACGCTGGTGATCCAACTGACCTGTTGAGAGCATGCGTACGTGAAAACATGTATCAAATCAGTCCTGAAGAAAATATCCTTCGTTTGCAAGCGGATGAGCGTCAGAGACGTCTGGACAAGAAGGTATCGAGCAGCAATAATTAGTGCATATAGATAGCAGGGCATGTGTATAGTCAGTGATGCGTGTTTGAGACAAACTTTCATCTGAAGCACACGTCAATTTTCAAGGGTAGGAACACAGCCGATAGACCGCCGTCATGTCCATGTCCAAATCTCCAATGGATTCGGCACAGCCCTTGACTGCCGAAGAGTTGATCCTGCTGCGCACCTTGCAGGATCGCGCACTCCGATCCAAGAAAGCTGAACTGCTGCCTGAGTCCTCAATGTTCCGTGGCCAAGGGTTTCCTTCGCAGCCTGACCCAAGCGATGATGCTGTTAGCGAATGGAGTGAAGTGGATGCAGGAAACATGTCAGATTCCTCCAAGCGCCGTTTGGGACCTGATATGGCACCGTTGTCCTATCCAGGCGCTCCGATGATGAGTCCCATGCCTATGCCTGTGGCCATGAATGGCCCACAGTATCCAATGAGCTCCGCTACCAGCTTTGGCATGACCAAGAAGGGCACCGCAATTACCCTTCCTCCAGGTGTGGATACTCTGGCTACGTGGGGAAAAACATTGATTGAGTTCGGCAAGTTCGCTTCTAAGGACTTGGATTACAACACCCTGGTGACTGCAAATGACAAAGAAAGTGTCAGCTATCGTAAGTGGTGCAAAAGCCAAGTGGATGCAGCTGAGGGTCGTTTGAAAGACTTAGCCCTTTTCCTGTGGGCACATGATGCTGTGACTGGACAGACTGAACAAGGTCCTGTGTTTCCTGGCACGAATGACGTGCGTCGTTTCAAAGATGAATGAAGGCTTGGATGAAATTTTTCCAGTGGCTCTATAGCAAGATCGGATATCTTGCAATTTTTGAAGATATAAAGAGGTGTGTTAATGCCACAACACCCAATCCTTTCTCATCCATAGCCATTTGTCTCTAGGGGAGACAGCTGCTGAGACCTTTGCGCCTGCGATGGAAATGGCGCTTTGAGCTCTGAGTTCCAGGTGGAACGATAGCGGATCAAGGGGATCCATTTTGGCTTGCTATCAATAGTATTATATATCACATTATATACCATATTATATATCATATTAGATACCATACTATATATCATATTATATGTATATCATATTACATTTCATATTATATATCATATCATATATCATATTAATATTAATATTATATATCATATTATATATCATAATTATATATCATATTATATAACATATTATATATCATATCATATATCATATTATATTACATCAAATTATATTATATTATATTATACTATACATATATATTATACTATATTATATTATACTATATTATATTATACTATATTATATTATACTATATTATATTATATTATACTTTATATTATACTTTATATATATATAATCAGACATATATATATATACACATAAAGATCTACAGTACATTTATTTCTCCATTGACCTATCAACCTACCAAGCTGCTTGGTTTACCTTGTTTACCCCATGGGCCCATGGCCTCTTGCCAAGCTCCGAAGGACACATAGCCGGAATCGTAGGTATCGGTCGTCTCGCCCCAGAGGGCTTGACCGTTTGGCCACACGGTGGCTTGACCTCGGGCCAGGGCTTCGATGGCTTCGGGATGTTTCTCTGCCAGGGTTTCGGAGGGAGCCAAGCAGCTATTGGTATGGACATCCGTGATTGAGAGCGAAGGAGCTACCAAGTTTTTCCCACCCACATGATGGTTTTCGAGCGATTTGGGATGCCCCCTTTGACACTTGAACAAGTAGACTGCTGGCGAAACTCTTCCAGTGCACTCTGTGGTTCCAGATGAATCTGGCTATGAAGGCCCACTACAAATGCGCCCAGATGAACCATCATGTGGCAGCTAATTATAAACTTCCCTGGTGTCACTATATGGGTGGCAACTATCATCCCCAAATGGTAGGTTTATTAAGCGGGTTTACACATTAATCCCTGGTTTTTGCCTGACCTCCAAACCAAGCCACAAAGAATCTGGATGTGTTTTCCTTCACAAAAAGCATGACTTTTTGCAGCCAAGCCACTGTTGAGACGGTTCTTGCCCTCCGACTCACCACTTTCAGACGAGGCTTGATCTGAACGAGGGCAGGGCCCATCTCCTTCCTCATCTGTATCTGGCCACACAGGTGGCCGCGGGGAAGCTTCGCCCACATCTGTTTCTGGAGTGGCACCCCCCCGGTTGGAACAATTCGATGGAGGAGTTACTGGAGATGGACCACAATCAATCGGCTCGTTTGGCTCATCACTGAGAAAGTAGGGCACGTAACCACTGAAGGAGTGGCAACGTGTAAACTTGGCCTTGGTTTCACTATCCGAGTAGTGAATAATGGTGGCACCTAAGGGTTTCAAGCGCGGCTCGATTGGTAGCATCGCTTTCAAGCACCAGCTCGGAACCCTGGAAAACCACCCGTGTAAGAGCCAAAGCCTGCAGAGAGTGAACCAACGATCGAATTCGTAGATGATCAGTGGGCGATATCACCGTGACAGTCGTGACATCTTAATATTCCACTTTCGGGTTGGAAACCAGTCACCAGCTCTGGAGTCGAACTTCATGCATTCAAGGGCCCATATGATCCTCCAATGCATTGTGGCTACGTGAATACAACAAAAGACGCAAACAAATTCAAGTACGAAGTCAACAAAAAACTTTTGAAACCACTTGCTGTGTCGTATATACTATATATCCACTATATATCCACTATATATCCACTATATATCCACTATATATCCACTATATATCCACTATATATCCACTATATATCTATATGCTTTACTGCTTTAAGGTCAAACCCAGAAGTTGGGGCTGCGATCTCCACATCGTTCCGCTGGGGATCCATACCAAGTAGACGTGGCAGGTAGAGCAAGCCATGACACCGCTACAGGCGCATTCGATGTATTCCTCCCGAGGTTTTCATAGCCCCCTGCTGCCCAGGGGGTGAATCTCATGGCTCCAAGCAGCTCCAAGCAGCACCTCCACCATAGTTTGATGGAAAGAAACTACTGGAGATATGATCAAGAACTATTATGAACTATTATGAACTATTGGTGTGTCCAGTTACAGAAGCCGCATGGCGGTTTTCCCAATGGTCTGGAGAGTGTAGACTAGGTAGATTCATCAAATCCACAGAGTGTCTGGTGGGCCGCTGAAACCAGCCTCAACGACCAACAATGACTGATTGTTGTCGGTTGTATGGCCATGGATAGCCGCGGCCTTTCTCCTGGTATCTCATGTTCACCAGGTTGCCAGATATATCCATACGTTCATCATGCGTGAAATCCCAATATTCAAATTCTCGCCATTGTTTGCCCACATTGGCTTCCCCTATATATAGATTGATGGCTATCACCAACTTTAACAACCAAGAGTCAGAAGGGATGATTGCACCGCCAAGTTTCCAGCATGTAAATTACCGACCAACATCTGTTTTGACCTATGACATTATGTCGGTTGGATACAAATCCCATCTTGGCCGGTTACATCATCATCTTAAGTCCCTACAATTTGTTGATGATATGTTAATTCTTTCGTACACTGTAAACCTGCGTCGTTTCTTTGTTTTTTCTGGCACTCCTGTTGGGTAAGAAATCAATCCAAAATTTGGTGGGATTATAGTAGTATATAAGTTTTGACATCTTTTGGTGCAGCTCGGACTCTTCACATCCCCAACACTTTGTTGATTGTATTAGTTCTCCATGTTGAAGCTACAAATGTCATATGTAATATTTGGTGGTTACTGTAATTCCCACTACTTCCATGGTTGAACAAATCTCTTATCCATTAAATCCCGAATCATATTGAATCCCATTTGTCTTGCTTCACCCCCATTGTTTCTTGGGTAAACTCCAATGTTTCTTGGTTAAACCCCCAATGCTTCTGAGATTTCTTGGGCAAATCCAATGTTTCTTTTGGTTCAACTCCCATGAAACCACCATTTTTATGATTAAAAACCTATTAAAGCACCATTTCTGCATGGTTTTTTCACACCACCCCCTTTTCTTTTCTAAGACCCTTTCCCCAAAAAAAAACGGCCGTGTTTACACGGCACGCACCTTGAGGAGATCAGCGCCTTCTCCCTGGCCATACTCCGCAATGTCCTGGATGGGGATTTTCCCAGTCCGGATCTCTGGGATAAAAAACATGGGATAACTATAGCTGGGGATCATTGAAACAATTGAAGCATTCAAAAATGCTGGTGAAAATCAATGAATATATATATATATTTAAAAAAGAAAAAAACGAAAAAACTATTCAATGGATTGATGGCGAAATCAGAACTGGAAAAGCAGCAATTCTGAGTTGGGATATGGGGCCTTGAAAGAACTATGGTTGGATATCCACTTTTCTTACTGGAACTGCACCCCCAAGCTGGGAGACCGGTGGTGCGTTTCAGGCTCCAAGGCTCTGTTCTTTTGACCTTCTCGCCATGGAAGATAGTGGCAGGTTGGGTGTGGTTAAATGTGCAAAACAAATTTCAACAAATAAGCACGATAAACTAAACTGACAAGGGGTTCAAGTCAGCAGTAGAAAGTTTTCTGGACTTTTGAAGACATTGCAGGAAGGGCAAGCAGCAATCCCATCACCTAGCTCTCCCCTTATGAAAAATACCCATGTAGAAGACCCCAAACAAATGAATCCAGTACTAAGCCACGGTTTTTGGATGTATAAGGCTGAAGGGGATTAGTTCCAAAACGGGTGCATGTGTCCATACTCCCATCGAAGGGCCATTTGCAACCAGGTCGGTTCCATTGTTGTTTTTTTCAATGCATCAAGGGTTGTCAGGAGTGTCCCCAAGGAATACTCCCTACAGTCTGTTGCCGGTCGCGTGACATCATGAACCACCTGCTGTCATGCTCCGCCGATGACCAGAACAGCCGGGCGCTGGAACTTGTCGAAGAATTCATCTGGAAACTCTCAACTGCGACACTTTTTTTTCACCATTTCTGGAAAGCAAAACAAAAACAAAGTTCCATCTGTCACCCGGGCATCAGAGGTTTTCCTGGACTCTCTGGGGATCCCTTCATGGATCCCTGGCCATTTGGAACGGTCAAATCAACGGCACTGAATTTCTGGCGGCCGGGCCAAGCTTCGGCCGATGCGAGTCACTTAAAGCCGGGCAAGGGCATGTTGGCGAAGATGTCCCGATGCCTGTCCCAGGAAGTCGAAACCCAAGGATAACTAGTAGCCCATCTCTGAGGTGATGGGTACCAGTTTAAAATGAGACCGCATCACTTGCGATCACAAGCAGGTTCCCCCCCACCTGGTGATTTCGATGCGAAAATCACCAGGCACGGCTGGGCAGAGCCCAAACCACATTCATGTATAAAAGGTCAACCCCTAGAATTGCCATCTCTGCATTCCCTACGCAAAATTGGGAAAAGTGAAAAATCAAACTTGAAACCCATCAAATTGTGCCAAATTGTGCATCAAAAGTTCATGTGCTTCTCGCCATGTTCACCATTTGGGCTCCCATTGTACCCCTGACCACTGACCTCGCATACATCGAAAGGAAGATAATTGTAAAGACCACGCCAGCCACCTCAGCTCTCGGGGATACGATGCCTGTAAACCGTCATAGTTTTCCATGGAAAATCTGCAGAGATTTTTCAAGCAAATGGGGTGGTGGTACAGTGTCGCACCCCAAAAGAGATATATAGTAAAGTACAATCCTACTAAAACAGCGATGACGGTTTTTGTATTTGTTTGGCGATTACTTTCTTTTATGTATATAAAGTAGTAAATTACTTGTCCATCTAATTTTTTGGGGGTGACTCTACATTTTCCTTTCGACCTGGGAGTGGGTCAAGTCCTCGTTTCGCAAAGCTACAACCCAAATGTCTTGATCATTTTCACGAACCTTGCCTGCCGGCTACCATAAAATCTGAAGAAATGATGGGCCCCTATAAATGAGGTTTGTCGTCATCCCCTTCTCCAAGGGGTTTCATCCATCAAAGAGCTACCCAGATGCCGTTCGCTACTATGGCAATGCTGCCCGGGAACCACGATGTAGATAAGCACAAAGAGAGCACAGCCATCAATGCCCATGATGTCGGAGCGGGGATTTTCTCCATACTTCTTCTTGAAATATTCGACCTGAGGACACAGGTTTCCAATCTGCCACAAAGCAGTGGCAAAAGGATTTTCAAGATATGAATGTAACCTGCCCTGGACACCCGAAACAACCCAAACTAATTGGTTGTTTGAGATTTTTTTCTTAGCCACATAAGCCAACGCCAAAAGGCTAAGATGTCATCGCAGCATTCGTGGTATCCAAACCAACAGGAGACATTAGTTCGCGACCTTTGACACTCATCTGTTTCTGGGTCAGTCAACTCATTGGGTACCCAAAACCCGCGTGGTTCCACAACATCCTCGCAGTCATTGTGTATTGTGAGGCACAGCAAAGATGTTTAACATCCTAGTTTGTTTGCCCCACCGATGTTTGCTTCCAAACAACCAGAAATCAATGGTTGTTTCCGTACTTCCGTATGGCAGGGAAGAACCCCCACATAAAAGTTGATTGAAACAGGGAAAACCATCATTCATCGTGCATTTCTAGTTACGTTTCGGCTTCCAGGCACGGTTTATCTCCATCACTACCCTCCGGAAATCAAACCTGGCAAATTATTGTAGTTTAATGGGGGTATTAATATGGGTCTATAATGGGACACTAGTTTTCTCCATTCAGTTTCCATTACATCATTGATGATTACAGGAATTCCAAGAAGTCAAAAAGATCTTGAGCCCAAAAAAATACAGCATGAATGTCGTCCTCGTGAAGCCACCCATGATATCTATACATATATATATATATACATATGCATTATCCATATGTTACCATATCCCATTATCCATATATGGAGTTTTCATGGATCATGTCCCCATTTATTCATGTATATTAGTGTATATATACATATATATCCCATATATATATATATGTATATCCCATCTATATCCCCAAACTTTGTCACCGGGCATATTCCTTGTCCAACTCATCCACATCTCCTTCGCCTGTGGCCTGGAAATGTATCACCAACGGTAGACATCGTGGAATTCATTGTGGGATCACATAAAATCACCACGGTGTATACAGATTACGTACATAGATTGATGATGTCTACACCGTGGTGATTTTAAGTGATATAATCTACATACATATACATAGATTATCACATGATGTGGTTTAAACAATGCCATTTGCACCATGCCCCAAATCACTATAAGTCACCATTTTTAAAGGTGGTATAAACCATCAAACATGGGCTGATCACGTCACCTGAGAGATCCCCTCACCGTGGGATGACCCGAAAGACCAGACCCAGATTGGTCGCAGTGAGTCACGGGGGGGCAGCACAAGATTGTTTTGTATCAAACAATGAATGAGAACACTGTGTATACATAAATATATATATATATATTGTGAATCTGCATCATTGTGAGATCAGTAGATAACCACCTGAAACCTTATGTCAATAAATCCCAGGGGGACAAAGCACCTTGTCCTTTAGCACATGTTGGCTCTGGAGGGCCTGGGAACGTCGGTGGGTGGGATACACCTGCGCTTGAGCCATTGCTTGTGAGCGTGGACGCTCTGCATATCATTTGGCCGGGGGCCATTGCTGCGCTTGTTGGAAACCATCCATTGGTGGTCCGAAGACCTTAGCCTTTGCCTGCTTGGAGATTCCGCTCCATCCGTGTGCTGCCAGGACTCTTGTGTCTTTGCAGGGGAAAAAGACCGCGAGCCCTTTGTCTTGGAGGTGGATTGAGATTTGGCAGCTACCAGTGTGGGGTTCACACCACTCACACTGGTAGCGGAGCTCAGCTCTGCTCCTTTAGCTGAGTATCCAGGGAGGCGGACATTGGAGTTGGAGGTGGAGAGATGCCTGAAGCATCTGACGGTGCTGAGGGAACCTCCAGCACTCTTGTGCCCAATCGTTTGACCCATCCAAAGATGACCTCACCGACTATACAAAGAAGGTGCAATTGCTGATGAACATGTGGCCGGAGGGCAAATGGACGGAACTGGCGACTCGGTTGATCCTAGGCTGTACAGGATCTGCCTTTCAAAAGTTACAACTGAAGAGCGCTGAGATCACAGTCAATGAGAAGAAGTCAATTCAACAAATCATTGAGCTGTTAGGTGGCCAATGGGGCCAGATCCCACTTGAGAAAAAGTATGAGGCGGCGGAACGAGCCTTGTTCCGATGCGTCCAGCGACAGGACGAAACCAATGATAGCTTCTTGGCACGTGCTGACGTGCTGTGGCAGGAGCTTATCAATAAGGAAGTCAAGCTGGATGAGCTGCAGGCATACATAACTCTGCGTGGTTCGACTCTCAGTGCGGAAGACAAAAAGAAGGTGGTGATCGACAGTCAGGTGAGCACAGACGGTAGGCTGACAATGCCGAGGGTATCGGCGGCAATCCGCATGCTGGGGGCTGGATTTTTCCATGAAATCACAACTGGAAAGAAAACTGGTAAACTGAAGACATACGATTCCAGCACCATGGTAGCCGATCAAATGGAGGATGATGATGAAGCCTCTCAAGCCTATCATGCTGATGTTCACGAGGAAGTCAACGAGGATGAGATGATCGATGTGTTGGTGCAGGAAGGCGATGCCGATGCCATCCTGATCGCCGACTTTGAGACGGCGGCATCTGATGTGCTTCAAGGAGATGAGGAATTGGCAAGTGCGCTGAATGCGTACACTGAGGCGCGCAGGCGCCTGAGCGAAAAGGTCAAATCCCGGGGATTTTGGCCGTTGACCCAGAGCTCCAAAGGTAAGTCCAAGGGGTTTAACCGTGGGGTAAAGGGTAAGTTCAATAAGGGGCATAATTCAAGCCGTAAGACCCTGCAGCAAAGGATCCTCAGTTCCACATGCAGGATCTGCGGGAAAATGGGCCACTGGAAGGCTGAGTGCCCATCCAGGAATGATGCCTCAGGAGCTTCCCGACCACAGGCTCCCACCTCGTTCGTCCAAGTTCAAAGTGATGTTCAAGGGCTGCCACTGGAGTTTCTCAATTTGCCATCCTTTGACGAAGCCGTAGATGTGCCTTACATATCGGTTAGCCAGTGTTTTGTTTGCCACTCTGAAAGGTTTAAAGACAGGGAATCCAAAGATAGGCTTCAAAGGTCTATCCATCGATGGTTGAACACTGAATCCACTGCAACCGGCCTCAGGCGCCATGATGATCGAGCTGCATCAACGACTGCAACCGCAGTTCAGCCAGTGCCTGTGCCGACCTATCCATGTCCAAGAGCCGAACCAAGTTCCATGAGTGAACATGTAGCCATGTTTGCAACGTACAGCAGTATGGGGGTTGTTGACCTGGGAGCCACTAAGACTGTCATTGGTAGCAATTTGGTCAAAGGTCTTCTAGAAGGGCTGAACCCTCAAGCACGGAAAGCTGTTCGAAGGTGCCCATGTGCCATAACTTTCAGGTTTGGTAATCAGGGAACCTTACAAAGTGAGCAAGCCTTAGCTATTCCAATTCATGGTCTTTGGTTAAAGGTTGCAGTAGTGCCTGGGTCAACCCCTTTCCTTTTGTCAAACACCCTATTGCGAGCGATTGGTGCTGTCATAGATACCAGTCAAAAGACTATCTTTGCCACAAAGATCAACAAGTTGATTCCAATCCAGCTCACAGACCGAGGGTTGTTTCTTTTGGATTTGAATGACCTTGTGGACACGACCGTGTCCGAGCATGCCGCTGAGACTCACCAGGTGTCCGAAGAGACCAAAACAGAGAGTGCAAAGCCGTGTACAGAACCAGAAATCACCAACTCAGGGTCACAGGCATCATGTCATGCAATCCCTGCCACTGTCGACAACATGCACACCCCTTCACCATCATCATCACCAACTCATGTAACTGATGTCAAGGTCGAGAACAATTCACCCGGTTTTCCAAATATCCTGGATGAGTTTTTGCAACAGCCTGAGCCATGTACAGAATACACCGGTTCGGCAGATCCTCGAAGCTCAAGCCACTCAACTTTTGCCAGAAGCTTCCGATTTCCGAAGTGTCGTCGCAATGTCCTCACTGAGTCAGCGCCTGAAGGAACTCCAAGTGCCAGGAGAGACCGCCAAGTTCGATTTCAGTCACCTGAGCCTCAACCAATTGGAAGAGACCAAGGTGGATTTCGGCCAAGCTCACCTGGGCCGGACCTACCGCGAAATGTGGCTGAACCATCAGGACTGGCTTCTCTGGTTTGCCGGAAGGTACGAGAAATCAGGGAAGGAGAGTCATCAGAAGATTCTGCACTATGTCGAGCTGATGGTGGAACGAGCCGAAATGGCCGGCACTCGCATCCCTGTCCACAAAGGGGTGCCATCGAGTGCGACCCTGAGGAAGCCAAAGGCCAAAGTCATGCCCAAGAAGACTCCACAACCGCAGGCCGAGGCGATCTCAGTGTGGGATGCTGCGGAGGAGGAGGAGTTCGAGATGTTTGGCGACGAGATCGATGCAGGTATGAGTGTGGCCGTAGCTTCCGAAATCACGGGTCCGAATGCGACCCACCTGGAGGGCCGAATGGCAGTCCTGGAGAATGCGGTGTCACAGATCCTCACGTTGCTGGAAGCCAACCCGCCAACAACCGAGCCCCAGTAGATCCGTGCCCCAGCTGGGCTCAGTCCTTCCAGGCTGGTGATCCAGATCAAACAGATAACCTTGTCCACCAGGTTGCCACGGAAACCAACCGAGAAAGAAAAATGTTCAACAAGATGATCCTTCAGATATCTCAGGAACTTGACCAGGTCATTCAAAACAGTAACCCAGTGGGCTCTAAGATTGATTTGCTTGAAGTTTTCTGTGGACCACACAGCCAGCTGACCAGTCAATGTCAGCAAATGGGACACCGTGCAATGCGTTTCGGACTTGCCGAGGGGGATCTGCAGACCTCCGAAGGTCGACGTCTCCTTTTCAAGGTTTTAGTAGAACATAGGCCCAAACATGTATGGTTTTCCCCAAAGTGTGGTCCATGGAGTGGTTGGTCAAATTTGAATGGTAGCAAATCCATTAAAGCATGGGATGAGCTTCAGAATAACCGACTTCAACATCTTGATCAAATTGCCCTGGGGATTGTCCTAATGAGATATCAAAGGGGTCAGCGAAATCACTTCCATTGGGAACAGCCACAAAATTCCCAGATGTTCAGACTTCCCTACATGCAAGAAGTTCGACAGGTACTGCTAGCGCTGGATGTCGACCTCTGCACGGCAGGTGACCTGCGAGATCCTGAAACTCAGAATCACATGCGGAAAGCCTTAACCATAATGACATCCAGTCCAAGTTTGTGTCAAGAGCTTGAGGGCCTAAAATGTCGTGGTTTGCATCCGCACCAACAGATTGAGGGATCATGCAAGGTCGCTGGCAAATCGGTGCTCAGAACAGCCTTCACGGAGAACTATCCGAGAAAGTTTGCACGCAGATTAGCCAAGAGTTTGTGTCGCTTTCGAAAGCCCCGAGAATTGCCGTATCTGCTACAGCATGAGGTATGCCTCTGGTCATGGACCCTCACCAATGAATCCGACCATGGTGAAAGAGCTCCAAAGCGCCAGAGGTTAGCTGACCAAGCCAGACTGAAGGTCAGTCGAGCACGGGAAGTAGAACAGTTGCCATGGGGAAAGCGTATCAAGTGTCCCACCAAAACCACCCCACAAAATGTCACACAACAATGGCAGTCCATTTTCCAAGAACTCCAACAACAAGCTCCACGTGTGGGTAAAATTGAAATAACCAATCCCCAAATAATTTCTCAAGTGCAAACACTTATGGAGGATAAGGAAATTCGAAGAATACTCATTTGTCGGGGTACCAACAGAACCATTGCCCCACCAACAGACCTCATGAAAGGGGAAGCCCCTTATCGCAGATGTGTATTCATCGAACGAAATTCCGGAAAATGTAAGGCCGATGAATCATGGGAATCTTGGGAGAATTTGTCCAAAAGACAGTTGATCCGGGCGTCTCATCCGTGCCGACTCAATATGACAGTCTTTGCTTGCAATCCAGAAGTTCCAAGGGTTAGAGAATCTCGGATAGATACATCTGATCCTGGTGCATCTAATTCGGCAAGTGCCCCGCCGGTCAGAACACCGGAAGCAACGGAAGCGAAGACTTCCGACGCTGCGCCGACAGAGAGTCCCAATCCCATCCGGGAACTGACAGAATCCCAGCAAGCTGACATGAAGATGTCATCCAGCCAGTCAGCACATTTCAAAAGCCTTACCAAGGAAGAGCAGCAAGCCTTAATCAGAGCACATAAGAATCTAGGTCATCCGCATGCCGAAAAGTTCAGCAGCATCCTCAGACAGCAGGGATTCCGACCAGAAGTTGCCCGTGCTGCCCTCGAGCTTAAGTGCTCGGTGTGTCAAGCCCAGCAGCTGCCCAAGACCGGAGCACCTGGTAATTTGAGGGATGAACTAGATTTTAATGATAGGATCCATGTTGACGGTTTCACTTGGACGAATGCTCAAGGGAAGGGTTTTCATGTGTATCACTTTGTGGATAGTGCCACGAGCTTTCAGGTTGCCAGCATAGCTCCATCTCGGGCAGCCGATGCTTTCCTGGAATGCTTTTTGCAGTCTTGGCTGATGTGGGCCGGGACACCTCATGAGATGATCATAGATGCCGGCACTGAACTGAATTCCGATGAGGTTGCCAATTTTGCACAGGCACATAATATTCACATGACCACGATAAGCACTGAAGCACACTTCCAGAATGGCAAAGCAGAAAGACATGGCTCCATACTCCAAAATATGCTGACAAAATACGAGACAGAACATGCCATACACACATATCATGATCTTAAGCAGGGGCTTTGGTGGTGCACTCAAGCCAAGAATGCCTATAGCATCCGAAAGGGTTTTTCTCCAGAAATACTTGTGCTAGGAAAGCAAACCAGGTTGCCGGGTTCCAACTGCAGTGATGAATTGTTGCCTGCCCACATGTTGGCCGACTCCGAATCGGCCCAAGGCGTGCAGTTTAGATTGCAATTGGCCCGCCGTGAGAGTGCCCGAAAGGCTTTTGTCCAAACAGATCATGATGCAGCCTTACGTAGGTCTGTACTCCGTAAGTCAAAAGGGGAACCCCGAAAATACCTACCAGGGGAATGGGTAATGGTTTGGCGCCAAGGGAAGGGGGCATACCCCGATCAGTGGACAGGTCCCATGAAGGTTGTGGTTCATGAGAACTCCCAAACGGTGTGGACGACCATGGCAGCCAAACTCTTTCGTGCCGCACCCGAGCATGTTCGACCCGTGTCAGCTATGGAGGCCAAAGGGATTGTGATGTTGCCCAATGAACCCACAATTTCCCAAATTGCCCAACAACTATCACCGCACCTCCAAAACGTCATCCAAAATTCCCAGAGCAATAATCCCAATCCTGATATAACCTTACCAGCACCAAATAATCCGTCACCAATAACCCCTAATAATCCCAACATGCCAAGTGACCTTCAAGATCCTGAAAATCAATCCGAAGTGCAACCAGATGCCGAACCAGGAGCACCAGGCAGTAGCCATTCACCTGTAGGGAGTCATAATAGCCACGGTCACAGTCCTGCCCAGCCTGCGATACCAAATCCAGAGGCTCTGAATCCAGAGCAAGACAAGATGCAGGCCCAGCTGGCACAAAACACGCCAGTCCCAATGCAGAATGAGGACGATGATGATCTGGTGTGTGAAGGTCTCCCTTGCGTTGATGTTGAGCCAGAATCCATCCAACTGGAAGCAAATCAGGCATGGCAGTGCGAAGTCTATGTTACCGAAGGGGATATAGATAACTGGAAACGAGAATCTAGACCCCATGAATGTAGCTTCCTGGCCACTGCCGCCAAAAGACAACGAGCAGAAGTCAAGCTAACAACGCTAAGCCCGTCGGAAAGGGCAGAATTTCAAAAGGCCAAAGAAAATGAAATTCAAAACTGGTTGAAAACTGGCACCATTTCCCGCATCATGAGAGATCAAGTACCACCCGATCAGGTCCTGAGGTGTAGATGGATATTGACATGGAAACCCATAGATGAACAAGAAAAGGCACAACTACAGGGGACCAAAAACCACAAAGCAAAGGCCAGGCTGGTTATTTTGGGATATCTGGATCCTAAGATCGCTGAGGTACCACGAGACTCCCCTACCCTGGGGAGACATTCCAAAATGCTTCTTTTACAGACAATTGCATCAAAAGGGTGGGATCTTCAATCATTTGATATCAAAGCAGCATTTTTACAGGGCAAAAATCAAAAGGACAGAATTTTAGCCATTGAACCTGTTGCGGAAATTATTCAGATGATGAAATTATCCTCACGTGAAATTTGCAAATTGGAAAAGGGAGCTTACGGTTTGGTTGACGCACCATACATGTGGTTTCAAGCTATTCTTGAGGAACTAATCAAATTGGGATTTGAGCAATCACCTTTTGACCCCTGTATGTTCACCCTCCGTAATCCACAAAACCAACAGCTAGATGGGATTCTCGGGTTACATGTTGATGATGGCCTCTGTGCAGGAAACCATCACTTCCGGGATAAGCTAAGACTACTAGAAGAAAAATACCCATTTGGCACAAAAAGGGTGGGACAGTTCACGTTCACCGGCATCGAAATGAACCAAACTCCTGAAGGCACCATTCACTTGTCACAATCCAAATACATCCGTGCAATTGAACCCATCAGGATAACTCAAGAACGCCGAAAACAAACTGAAACAACAGTCACCGAGGAAGAAAGACAGCAATTGAGAGCACTCATCGGGAGCCTACAGTATGCGTCGGTGCATACCAGACCAGACCTTTCCAGCAGACTCAGCAACCTACAGTCATCCATCAATCAAGCCACAGTGGAAACCCTGATCACAGCAAACCAAGCACTTCACGAGGCCAAGAAACACCACGATGTGACCATCAAAATCCAACCCATTGCCACAAAAGATCTAAGATTCCTAGCCTTCTCGGATGCATCCTTTGCTTCAAAGAGTAACCCCAATTCTCATACTGGTTCTATCATAATGGCCACCCATAAGGATATCGGAAGCAACGTCAGATGCCCAGTGAATCCGATCTCATGGGGTTGTAAGAAAATACAACGTGTTGTAACCAGTACTCTTGCTGCAGAGACCACATCCTTAAACACAGTCTTGGACCAATTATCCTGGGTAAGACTATGCTGGGGATGGATCATGGACCCCAATGTACAATGGAAAAATCCCAAACTAGCATTTCAGAATCTTCCAGAAACTTACTCCACTGCAACGATCAAAGCACAGGAATTGCCTGACAGTTTTGCCGCCACCGATTGCAAGTCTCTATACGATCTTGTGACCCGCACAGCCGTGCCCAGTTGCACCGAGTTTCGGACGCAATTGACAGCTCGATCCATAAAAGACCTTTTGTCAGAAGGTGTAGCTTTGAGATGGGTGCATAGCGGGGCCCAATTAGCTGATGCCTTAACAAAAGTAATGGAAAATGCCTTCTTAAGGGAGACCCTTAAACTGGGGCACTACAAGCTCCATGACGAGCTTCAAGTCTTGAAGGATCGCGCCTCGTCCAGAAATCGCTTGCGATGGCTGAAAGGTGAATCCACCAGCCAAAATGGCTCAGGCTGCAATGATGCATGTTTCTTGGAAACTTTTAGTTTTTCGGGAGTGTGAATCTGCATCATTGTGAGATCAGTAGATAACCACCTGAAACCTTATGTCAATAAATCCCAGGGGGACAAAGCACCTTGTCCTTTAGCACATGTTGGCTCTGGAGGCCTGGGAACGTCGGTGGGTGGGATACACCTGCGCTTGAGCCATTGCTTGTGAGCGTGGACGCTCTGCATATCATTTGGCCGGGGGCCATTGCTGCGCTTGTTGGAAACCATCCATTGGTGGTCCGAAGACCTTAGCCTTTGCCTGCTTGGAGATTCCGCTCCATCCGTGTGCTGCCAGGACTCTTGTGTCTTTGCAGGGGAAAAAGACCGCGAGCCCTTTGTCTTGGAGGTGGATTGAGATTTGGCAGCTACCAGTGTGGGGTTCACACCACTCACAATATATACATACATACATTATATGTATGTATATATATATATAGGTAGATAGATACATAGAGACACGAGCAATTTTACCTTTCCTTCATTTTATGTCATTTGTGTTGGTTGTAGGAGTTACTCCAACGGTTGCTGCTAAAAAAAACATCTGAAATGTTCATATATATATATTATAGATATGATATATAAATAAAGCTCCACGTTTTGTTTTGTTTGAAGAAAACAATACCTCATTTCAAAACATGTCAGATCCTGAAACCAACAAGACAAGTTGAAAACGCGTTTGTGAACAACGCTTCCATTTGTTGGATCGAAATCTCACCTCCTGCTCTTCGATCTTCTTTTGCTCCGCGTCTTGCTGCACCTGCCAAAAAGGCACCTCTGTTGTCAGGCATTCAGAAGTATAATGGGCTTGACTTCGCATACCCAACTTGAACTAGAAATTCATCATTGCACAGTCTACATGTATATGTCTTGGCTTGATGCGTATATACAGAGCTGGGTGGGAGAAAAAAGATGTAAACAGAGAATTGCCATCAAAAGAGCAGAGTTTCCCTCGACTATATTTTGGGGTACCGAGTACCCTTGTGCCTCTGTATTTACGTATTATGTGTGTATGTATGTGTATGTATATATATATATATATATATATAATTTCTATACTTTTATGTATATATATATATATATAAGTATATATCTCAAGGTGTATATATATATATATATGTACATTATATATATGTATATATAAAGATACACATGTATTTAATCCGTATACATAGACCGCAAGCAGCCCCCTCTGTGCCTTGCGTCGCCTCAGCTCCATCTCATCTCCCACCGCAGAGGACATGGCGACACCTTACCCATCTTCCAGGGCAGGGTGGTGTGAAGTCCTATCTATCTATCTATCTATCTATCTATCTATCTATGTATCTATGTATCTATGTATCTATGTATCTATGTATCTATCTATGTATCTATGTATCTATCTATGTATCTATGTATCTATGTATCTATGTATATATGTATATATGTATGTATATATATATATATGTGTACAGGAATATGTAGATATTTATCTGGATATCTATATTCATAGTTTCATATGTATATGGATGTTTATGCTTATCTCTATATTTATAGTTATTTTCCATTGTGCGTATATATGTATATGTGTGTGTGTGTGTCCATTATGTATTCATACACAAATATAGAGATACACAGTATGTGTGGAAAGATACATAATAATAAGTAAGATCTCAACATGACTAGCTACATTGTAACATTATCTTGGATCCATCTCCCAATTCTTGCCCACTTCTTATCATCCCAGCGACAAACCAATGGAACTCAGCGCAGGCTGCGTCGCGGGGGGCAGTTTGTCGAGTTTTCGTCGCGGTCGGCTCAGTGGCTGGAAGCCAAAATGGCCCAGTTTTCACAACAAACAATTGGGAAATATAACATTATCAATCATATTTTCCACTTACACCACGATAGCCAAATATGATTGCAACTATAACTATTAATCAAAGATCCAATCGAAACAGTTTTATCTAGTTCAGATCACCTTCTACCCAGTTTTGGGACATTGAAAATATCTTTAAGAGTCAAGAGGGCATAAATCTCAAGCCCTGAGCCAGGTAGTTCCTGGGTGGAATGGATCAAGATAAGAAGCATAGGGTCAACCATGTACTTCCTGTATATGTAGTTACGTTCTGATGGTGGGGAGAATCGTAAGTGTGTGAACGCAGTGGCAGTTGCCCGTGGCAACAGTCAGTTGGAAAATAATCGCAGACAAGTTCGACGGCAGGAGCGCACCCAGCTGGACACCGAGGGCTATAATAGAGTATAATCCTACTTCCAACACCCCCAAATGGATAAGAAGCAACATCTGCAAGAATGTTCCTCCACATAAATAACCATCATGAGCCAGCATAAGAACCAACTTCCAACCCTTCAAAATGCAACAACTACCCACCAATGCTGTATCCCCACTTCTGAAGGAGACAATCAACAAAAAAAAATGCGAAAAAAAGTCCTCTGTTGCACTCCCCCTCCACCTTTCCAACCTTCCAACCTTTCCAAGCCGCCTTCAACGACATTCCTTCAAAGGCCTCGACACCAAAGGCTTCACCATCGGGAGGTTGGACCTGGAAGCCTCAGCATGAATCCTACTTGTCTTTTCGAGGATGCTGCTATGCACTGATATCTGTATATAATATTATACAATTATATATAATATGTGGTTGTCGTATGACCAGATGATATCACATGGTGATCATATTCAGTATGTATGTATATATATATATGTATATGTATATATATAATATGTGTGTGTGATATTCTGTTGATATCATTGTATGAAAATATGACTGAATATACCAATACGAACCAATTGCCAATATGATGCATAATTCCAACAAGGGGTTGGTAATGGCCAGCTAGTTCACCCACCTATGTACATATACTGGTTGGTGGTTTCAACCCCTCTGAAAAATATGAAAGTCAGATTGGATCATCATCCCAACTATTGGGGAAAATCAAAAATGATCCAAGCCAGCAACCAGTATATAAATTTCTCTCTCTCTCTCATCCCAGCTTGAAATGGGTGACCTGGGATGCAAAAAGGGGGGGAATAATCACCGGGATAAATGGGAGCAAGCAATAAGACCGATGTTGCCAATATCCGCATTGAAGCTGCAAGAATGGGAGTAACCAGTAGAAATGGTGAAAGCCCGGAAATTATGACGCGTAAACTAAGGTAACTAACGAACAAAACTCAACAGATTGACACAGAGGTTGTTCGACCAATCAAAGTGCGGATTTTCCCCAAACAACGGATCCCAATCTGAATAGCGATGACTAGCCGGGGATTTCTTTGGCCGATATGAGACTGAACCAGCAATTTGCTCGGATGAACTTCCAAGTAGCTTGGTCAACCATTCAAGAGCCCACAAATGTCTAGTCACTCTTAAGCATAAACCCTCCAGGTGGTTTAATGTCAACGATTTCGAGCCAGGGCACTGGGTTACTACTCGAAATCATGCGGTCCCCAAGCTACAACTTGTGGACTATCACCAAGTAGCCCACACTATGTAGGATCTATATACTTGTGAACATCGCATATCAAATCTACAGTGTCAGAGCCCAACGCAGCTGTTTTCGCTCCCTTTTTCAGCCGCCAGCAATGGTTCCAGTTCTAAGACCTCTGGATCCGAGGCGCCAAAGATGTGCACCAACACCTGGAGGATAAGCACCAGCCCAAAAGGACCAACATCTGCGGTTCAGGACTAAAATGTTGACCTGTTGACCCAGAGATTTGAATGGTTAGCGCGGTTAGGGATTTGAATATCTGTCCTGATGTTGTCCTGTGGAAGGGAGAAATCCATAGCTTTCCTCTCAGCCATGTGGGTTTGTTCTGAAACCACTGGATTGCATAAAACTTGATCGGAGTTTGTTGCGGTTTGTGTTGCTTTCCTCCAAAAGATTCCAAAAGTGGGTGATACACCAATGTTTGATTCCAAAAATGCTGTTCCAAACCACAGAATTTGTATTTTTGCTCCAAAAATGTTCAGAGAAATCCTGGCACCATGGCCAGAAACTTGGTTTATCTGAAAAATAGGTACCTCCAATTTTAAGGTACCGTTTTTCCCAGTTTCAGACACCAAATAGCATCCTGGGATCAAATTCGGGAAAAATTCACTAGGCTTTATCCCCAAAATCTTGGGATTTTTACGAAGGGTTTCCCTTGGGCGTTTCCCTTGGCGTTCCATTTGGATCGCCTCTCGCGCTAGGTGCAAATTCTCAGTGACCTCCGCCATCGAAGATATCGAAGGCGATGCTGTCTGAAGGATGGCCTTTCGAAGTGCTCAAACAAATGGTGCCAAGGATGATTTCGGGGATTGGGATTTAATCAGCAAAAATAGGGAAATGGATGTTAAACAAGCAGCACATGTGGATATGGCTATGGGGATTGGGATTTAACCATGAAAACACGGGAAGGATTTTTTTACTGGAGGGTTGTGAGGTTTGTTTTGAAATCGGGGTACCCCATGAAAAATGGCACATCACTTGGATGAGGTCAGAATCCCCTTTTGCAAGCCCCCACGTGGCAATGGCTTTGAGTTGGCATCCAACACTTCTGGAAACCCACAAACATGCAAGGGCCTCAAAATATTTCAAGTAGTGACTTGGTGATCCCATTTTCTTGACGAGTACCTGCAATCAGTATATGAGATGTGTATATATATATATACATATGAGTCTCACCAACCCCCCATGATGACAATAGCCAACCGCAAAAATGTTCAAAGAATCGAAGCGGCTTGAACTGTTGGTTCTGCAAGTGGCTGGGAGAAGTTATTTTCCTTGTGTTTTGTAACCAGAACTTAAATCAAGGTTTCTGGGGTGATTTTGAGGGGTATCAACCCTGCCTTGGCCAAAGCTACACGAAGCCTCGCTCGTTTCAACCGTTCCCTGGGCGTGTTGCCAGTGGCAGCACAACGTGCGCGCAGCAAAGATGGGCGTTGCTCAATCTCCTCCTGGCGCCAGGACGCGATGGGGATAGAACTGCGACGATATGCACATCGTAGCCTTTTTCTGCAGTTTTATCCCTAAAATGGAGATACTCCTTAAACTTAAGGTACCCGATTTTCAGACCAGGGAGCGATTACGATGCGTTTAGGAAAATCGGCAGGAAGATTGCCGCGAAAATCAGGATCTGATCAACAAAATTGCGCAAAGTCGCCTCAAGTTGGACTGGTTCATCACCATCGTTGCAATTTCGAATCCAATTAAACATGGGATGACCTTACTAAAGGAACGTGCACCGTCTAATTGACCATTTACTAGGTGGGATGGTTAGCCAAGTGGGCTACAATCAACAAATGTGGTTCAAGGAAGGAACCACATTGAAGTATCGAATTCGGTGGTCAATTGTGGACCTTCCAATTGGGTTTTTCGGTGTTGAAATTGCAAAGACCTGGTGTCACACCGTGTCCAAAGTTGCTGGTTAGGGCCATGTTCGGTGTTGACCATCCACTTCTTCGGGAATCGATTTTCACATTTTCCCAAAGAGCCCAATTCCCAAAGGGCGGTTCATTGTCCGGGAAGAACTGGATGAACTGGATCACATTTTATCCTTTATTACCGATCAAATCACAATTGTTCCAAAGCATCCCAACATATCTAAAGCTCTACTTCAAAAAACATCAAAAAACTGCCATCTCAAAATCTTCCCTAAAATCCTTAACCTTATCTTTCCCCCAGTACCCAGTGAAGCTCCCCATTTTTGCGTTGCTCCGCCCTTCCCACGGACCTCCGCCGCGTAGCCGCGCAACGCCTCCACGACCCAATGCTCCGCCGCCAGGCCGCAGCGCTGCGCGCGCCACAGCAGCGGCAGGGCCTCCTGCCCCAGGCCCTCGGACGCCTGGGAGGTGGTCCTTTCCGGTGGATTTTCACCAAAAATGGCCGGAGTTCCCGGTGATTTCACTAGCAACATAGGATGGCGATTGGAAGTGGCAAAACATGTTGACAAATGGTCCCAACTGCGAGATTCCCTGCAACAAACGGTCACCACACTCGAAGTTGGTGCCAGGTCGCAAGAAGCGTAGGGTGGCGCAGCACTCTTTTGGCTTGCTCGGCAAATGTTGGTAAATGAAAATGACATGTAAAAGTGACATGATATGATGTCCAAGGGTTGGGACAACACTTCACATCGAGGGAAATGAATGGTTGAAAAATATCTAAAAGTATGGCTGTGCTAAATGCAGCCGGCACAGGCTTTGATAGCACCAGCACCTTGCAAAAATTGGCACTGTGGATTCACATGCCAACGCTGACCATTTTTGGTCACTACTATGTCCTGCCTATTCACTTCCATCTGCGTGATGCGAAAGCGCATTTCGTTCATCTTGTCCTTGGTTGATCGCATTCTGCATCTCCTGGATCATGTGGAGAGAGTGCTGAAGGTCGGAGTGGAGGTTCTCCATGTTGTGCTGCTTTTCCACGATGTCAGTCATGAGTCGACCAATCATCGCCTCATCAGATTTTGACTGGGCTTCCATCTCGGTCAACTTCTCCTCCAAAGTTTTGATCTGATTCTCCAGCTTCCTCTGAGGGATCTTCTTCATGTAGAATGTAGAAGATGTTGCGGCAGCACACCTTCAGCCGTCGCAGCTTGTAGACAACAAATTGTCCACACCACCAAATAGTGGTCATCAGCACCACCAGGAAGGTCACCATCACCACATAGTCCGGGATTGTGAAGACATTCTCGATCTCCTCTGTCGTGACATTCTCCATGATCGTCGTGTTGACATAGCTCTGGGTGTCGCCGTCATCGGCGCTCGTCACCTTGACATTCTCCGTCATCACCAAAGCCACCAAGGCTTGTGCAGCAGTGGATCTTGAACCCATAGTTTCTTGAAGCGTTTTCTGTCGCTCCTCCTTGGTCTTTCGTTTTGCGGCTGTGTAGGTCTCGTCAGACACCAACTGCACATAGCCGCCCCTGTAGCGCTCACTGAAAGCTTGTCGGGCTCCGATCTTTGTAAGACCGTCGGCTAATTGCCTTTCCGATGAGATCCATCAGACTTGACACTTCATGTTCTCGATGAGTTCCTTCGCCACCAGGCACTCAAGCGCAACTCGCTTGTGTGCCGCTTGCTGTATGTTCTCCCTTTTCAAGCCATCGAAGAGAGACTTGCAGTCAGTGACAACTGCACAGTTTCCAGTGGCTCTTTTCTGGACCTCCTTCAGGTTCAGGTGGGGGGTCTGCAGGTGTGTGATGAAGTTCTTCACCAGCAGCAGCTCATCCAATCCAGTTGACAGGGCTTGGCATTCAGCAGCTAAGCTCGATCTGCAGACACGGGCTAATTTGAAAGATTTCCATGGCAAAGTCGAAGTTGGGACCTTGTTTCCCTTCAGCACAGAGTGGTGGCCCATCACGATCACGTAGCCACCTTGAGATCCATGGTCTTTGCGAACGTCAAAGGCCGCGTCCACATACATCACAATCGCCAGGTCGTCAATGTCCTGGGCCTTGTTGTTTTCCGGAAGGGCCAAGAATCGCATCTTGTTGTGGGCCACGCTTTTCGCAAACCGCAAGGTTTTGTCGAGTTCCAAAAGAACTTTTCCATCTCCACCAGCTAAATCTCCAGCTTGGATGCTCACGGAAGCAGCAAGAGATGGTACTCCTTGTCCTGCCAGCCATTGAAGGGCTCTAATCATGCCTCTGGCCTTTGATTTCTCAGCATCATCCAGTGGTTGCTCAGCTGGTCTCCCTTTTCGCAAGGTCATGGGGCAGAGCTTCTTGATGTAGTCCTCGTAAGATGTCTCCACATAGCCATTGTTGAACTCGATGACTCCACCACAGTACTTGATGGGCGATGCTTCGCTCAGCACTTCCCATTTTCCAAGCTGGAAGTTCTCCTTCAGTTGTTTGATGGCCTCTTGGAACTGTGGGTGATCAGCTTGGCCGCTGATAAGGAGGTCATCGACGTGAAGGATCAGCATGGCGATGATCTTGCCAGTGTCCTTGTCGGTGAGGTAGTAGCAGCATTTGTCCAGGGCATGTCTTTTCCAGTTGCCTTTCTTCAGTCGCCGATCTGCTTCTTCATACCAAAGCAGTGGGGCGTCGCTCAAGCCATAGGCGCTCTTCAGCATGCGCATGTAGCATGGAGGTGGTACACCCAGTAGCGCAGCGCAATCAGCTGGCAACTTGACAACGAGCTCCCTGGTAAAGTTCTTTCCGCTAAGGAAAGCTGCTCTAACATCTCCGCAGTAGATGGTCCAGCTCAGCCATCCTGCCAAAGCTAGCAGTGTCTGCCTTGCTAAACGGCTGGCAGTAGGGGCAGCCTTGTCCAGTGTCAGGACATAAGCGTCTTCGAAGCCTCTCAGCACCAATCGTGCCTTTGCTTTCCATTTCACACTGCCATCATCTTGATCAACAGATTTCCATGTCAAGACCTCTCTGGCAGTGATTGCACGTTCTCGTTGTTCAGCACGTACTCCTTCTTCATGAGTTGCAAACTTCCAGACCAAGTTGCTGAAGTATTGTGAAAGTTCGGCTTTCTTGCCTTCGATGAACTTCTCTTGGTCTTCCAGCTTCAGCTTCTTTGGGTTGACTTCTCCCTTTCTGTAGGCAGTGTAGTAGATATCGGATATCGTCAAGCTCAAAGCCTCCATCCACGCACTTCCAACCACCAGGCAACTTGCCAATCACCTTGTCGATGTTGACCTCGAGACTGAAGGCATCATCGTCTTCGGCAGGGACAGGTGTTGCTGCAGCAGTGGCAAGTCCTTGATCATCTTCTGGTTGTTGAAGTAGTGCATCGGCGCTTGAACTTGCTGTCGTTGTCCTTGGCGCTTTCGCATCATTCCTCTACACTTCCGCAGTTGTTGTTTTCCTCTTTGGCGATCTTGCTCGTCCACGTTCTTCTTCGGCAGGTTGTAGTTCTGAAGGCTCCACTTTTGTAGCCAGTGACATCCGTCGATCTTTATCATGATGTCCACGTCGTGGCGTTCGATCACGTTCAGCTGCAGAGTTTTGGAGAGGGATCGGCAGCACCATTCGAACAACTCCAGGAAGGTCTCGTTCTTGTAGATCTTCGGTGTTGGCTAAACTTGGCTCCACATCACTGTCATCATGTTGTAGTGGTGGCAATGGGATCTCCTCCATGTTGTCCTCAAGGTTGGGCTCGAGGTCCGCTTGGAGCTCGTCCTTGAACTGTGTGGTGGATCTGGCCTTCAGCATCTCAAGGTCTTGAAGAGCTTCTTTTGGATCTGCCATCTGCAGGTAGCCGCTCTCTTCCAACAGAGGTCGAACTTGTCGTTCACCACATCGTATGAGGCTCGTCCCATAGCACAACCACAAAACTCTCGTGCCATCGTGGTCTTCAATAGCCACAACACGGGCTGGTCCACGCCATTTGGCCTTTTGTAAAATGCCAGTTCCAGACACACGCCAAAACCAACAGCGCTGTCCAACGACCAATTGCTCGGACACATCCTGGAACTTCTGGTTGAAGGCTCTTCGCAGCTTTGCATCTGTGTCTGCCTTGATCCATGCGATCTGAGCAGCTTGTCGATTCTTTTGGATCTGAGAAAAGGCACCAGCTTCATCCAGAGGTCCTTGTCCAGGATTGAAGATCTCGAAGGTGAGGCCGTGAACATGGGTCATCGATTTTCCAAGAACCCATTGTTGTGGAGTAAATCCTCTGACCATTGCCGTCTGGTTGATGGCATGAGGAACATAGATCGCAGCTTCTTTGAGGGCAGTGAGGTCGTGTCGACCAAGGTCATCTTGGTAAAGTTCCAGAGCTCGTCGAATGACTTGATGTCTGCGTTCAACAACGCCAAGCCAAGTGTGTTGCTCTGCAGGTTGAACTTCCAAAGTGATAGCACGGCTGCCTGCCCATTCTCTCACGTGCTTGGAAGTCCATCCTTTGGCCTCATCAATTCGGATGTACTTCGGAACACCAAGATGCTTGAACCACATCCTGTCTATGCCCTTTGTGAACTCTTCCGCAGTCTCTCCCTTCAGGATGCGGATGGCGCAAAAGCGCGTGGCATGGTCCACAATTGTCAGCACACACTGACGTCCACTTATCTCACGCTTCTTTCTTTTGGCAGCTGGTGTTCCAGGGGCAGGTTCTCGTTGGGCAACTGCTGAATCTTCACATTGGATCCAGTGGGAGTCAACCTGGATGCGCTCGTTGAACTCAACGGTTCCTTCTGGTGTGCATGAAGAAGGTCTCGAAGTCCGCCGGCAGCTCGGTGATCGCGTCGTACTTGAAGACGGAGTCAAGTCGGGCCAACAGCACAGCTGTACCATTGGTCGACTCCAGATCAGCCATAGCCAGGTCCTCACAAGCACCCCAGGCTCGGCCAGCTAAGGCAGCCGTGATGTTGAAGGCAGTCTCCGTTGATCTCCCGGCCAGCGACATCTTCTTGTCAAAGATCTGGACCCGTTTCTTGAACTCCTTATAGTCAGCAGCACGGTTGTTGAACTCCGGCACGTACTCATGGGCTTTTCCAGTGTAGGGTCCTGAAGAGGAAGATGTCATTGCAGCAGCTGACCAACAACAAACGGTCACCACACTCGAAGTTGGTGCCAAGTCGCAAGAAGCGTAGGGTGGCGCAGCACTCTTTTGGCTTGCTCGAGCTCGAATCCCACCGCTGCAGGTGGCAAATGTTGGTAAATGAAAATGACATATAAAAGTGACATGATATGATGTCCAAGGGTTGGGACAACACTTCACACCCTGAATTTGTATCACAATCCCTATTTGAACCAGCTAGTCCCCAAACAAATCCACTCTATTCTATCATCACATCCCAAGGTTGATACCAATACCCCCAATTTTTGTTGCTCCACATACCCGGTCTCTTGATGATTCGAAAACATAGATCATATAATCACGATATCCTGATGTTTGGATGCCGAATCCCGCCTGTCTACTAACGCTCTGGTAAATTAACGGGCAGGACTGAGGGTTGTCCCGGAATGGTCCTATGAACGTCAGTGTGAGATTCATTTCTCTGCGCAGGCGCAGTGTTTTATGACTCTGGTACATCTGTGTGTTAGCGTGGTCTAAGACGAATTTTTGGAAAAATCAGTCAGAAAAGTAAACCCTCTGCGGACTCCACGCGTTTCGGCAATTTCCACTTTTTCATTTTTTTGGCGAGTCCGGATATTATAACTTATGTAAACCCTGATAGAAGTATGCGTATATGTTCCATGGGGCCGGGGAATTTTTATAACTTACGTAAAGCCTGATAGAAGTATGCGTATATGTTCCATTTGGCCGGGAGATTTTATAACTTACGTAAACCCTGATAGAAGTATGCGTATATGTTCCATGGGGCCGGGGGATTTTTTAACTTACGTAATCCCTGAATGAAACCCCTGATAGAAGTATGCGTATATGTTCCATGGGGCCGGGGGATTTTTAACTTATGTAGACCCTAAATGAAACCCCTAATAGAAGTATGTGTAAGACGTCACTGTTGTTATGACAAGGAAATCCCCTGGCACTGGGATAATGGAACCAATGGGTTGCTAACTCCGCTCTCGGGTATGGCCTTCCGGGCCATACCCTCGTAGGACGAGGGGTTGTCCCGAAGGGACAACCCCTCATCCTGTGGGTAAATTAATGAGAGATATGTGAGATATGTAAACCCCACCATGATACAACATGTTTCCTTGGCAACGCAAAAGTTCATAAAAGGCACTATGTCACTATATCCACATTCAATAGCAAAGCATTCAATAGCGCAACAATAAACCCAACAGTAAAATCAATAGAAAAACCTATCAAGTTCTAATAAACCCTACACACTATAACCAATCCGTTTACAGTAACCCCGTACAACTCTTCTGCTTTGAAGCCTCCAAGGGTATGCCGCCCAGAACAGAGGAGAGCGTGGATGCTTGGAGCCTCGGGCGACAGCGATGGAGAATAGTTCGATTACAACAATGGCATAATTAGCATTAGCTAGTTGGATTAGTTGTTGGAGAATTAGTAATGGTTGTTGTAATTCTATTAGAATAGTTCTATTAACTAGTTTTACAATGGCAACAACAATGGGAATAACTGATGTTGGATTACCGGGATATATTGATAGGATATAAGCTATTGACATGCTTATTGTCAAGGTGCTTTACCTCGCGACCTCTTAGTTTATCCTGGTTGCACCGAACTGAAAATTGTGCTTTAAAAAAAGGATAATGCTCCATTGACTAGGACGAAAAATAAATTTCATTCTACCCACCAAGCAGTGTACCTTTGAAATACTAAAAAGTACTGAATCTCTATCAATGGTGGTTGAAGCGGCAATCAAGAAACATCGTCATCTCTCATCCGCAGGTATAGGGGAGTGGCATCCATTTTGGATGCCGTTCTATATTGTTTATTCCTCCGCACACTACAAGGGAACTTGAACCAACCCAAAAACGACATCTGTAGTCTAACTGGTCCAGTGGCACAAATTAATTTTGACCTCCCAGCCCATGCAATGTGGTACTTCCTCCCTTTTCAGTTGGTTTATAAACCTATGATAGATATATCCACCATGCGCCAAACACACAACCTCTATATGCTTGTAAACCAACTTTGCTTCCATTACAGCCCATAAAATATCCCATTCAATCCCATATGATATCGTCATTAATCATGTCCCTGTACAACCCACTGCCTCCCAAATTCCATCAATTTTCCTATAAAAAAATACCCGTTCTATCCCAGTAACCAAATGGTTAGTTTTTGTCTGTTTGTTTAAGCACGTCTACATATGTATACGAATGTATATATGCATACCTTTCTATACAGCATAACAAAACATTACATCGCAATCTATTCCCATAGTATCCACATGATCTCCCATGTCAGGATCAGCTCCCCAATATACTCCAGTGTCTTTTCGCTCCAGATTGTTATCGGATCGTTTTATGCTTATAAAATTCCCATAACCCATTATTATCCCATCATAATCTGGTGTCCATGATTGTCCATTTTTTCCCATAAATTCCCACTAGTGTCCATTACTGTCATAATCCCGGAAAAAAATACTATTCCATTATCATCCCATTGTAATCCCATTTGATGGTATTAGTATCCCATATCGCATTTTTATTATACCATAAATATCCCATTATTATCCCATTATGATTACCCCATTCCTATCCATTATTTATATGCCCATTATATATATATCCCATTATTGTTTTCGCCCATTACATACCACTGCCTCATCATTATCCCACAAAACAGATTACCATTATCATCCCACTATTATCCCATTATTATCCTATTATTATCCCATTATCCATTAATGTCCTTTATTTTCCCGGATTATTATCCCATTATTATCCCATATCCCATTATGGGGATTGTTATCCACTATTATCCCATCTTGTTTTGGAAATTATCCCTATATTATCCCATTTAATGGGATGATTCTCCCATATCCCATGATTATCTCATCACTTTCCCATGAGAATCTCATCCCAAAAAAACATTCCTTATTTCATGGGGATAAACCAAATCTGTTTTTTTGGCGCCCAAAAACATCCCAACATCGAGGCGCAGCTGCGCAAACTCCGCCTCCGGAACCAGGTGCGCAGCCGCCTCGACTGAGCCCAAGGGACCACAATAGTCGCACTGAAGGGCCTGAAACGCAGATGGCGATGAATGGATTGGTTTTGTTGGGAAAATATTCACCGGAAAGCATGGATTTTCACATGAAATCATGGGCTTTCGTGTCATTTTCTCTTAATCCAATCCATTGAGTCATGGAAGCCCTTCAAAAAAAGGATGGAAAAAATTCACTAAGTGAAGGATTTTTTTAGTTGTCTATCCTTTTTGGTGGTGTTTAACGTTGTGTTTTTTCCCGATGGGAAACCATCCTTAGCCATTTCATAACCACTTCACTATCACTTTCAAACCCCCCAAAGCCATATGGAGTTGCCCACAATTACCCCAATTTATGTTTATCAAACCGTAGTGGAAAATGATGATAAGCCATTGGAATTTGGGATAGCTCTAGGGGATCTTTTCTGAAAACAAAAAAAAACAGAATAGATCTGGCTGCACGATCAAGTCATTGGACGCTCCAAATGTGGTCGACCAGCAAAAAGTTCCAGCATGTCCCGTCCCTGGGGTTTTCAATATTGGCTGATACCATTCCAGAACCCAAAAACTATCTTGAAAATACATGGAAAAAAAAAACTTTACTCACTGCGTTGCTGTACGTGCAAAAATTACTACCATTGTCTTCTATCACTAAAGCAGAATGGTCAACCCTGTCACTCTCCCTTTAACAGACACAAAACTCAAGAAAACTCACCAAAACCAACAAAAAGTTACACAAAAAACACCATCATTAACAAATTAATTAACAAATTACCATCATGAAAATTCATGAAACTAATCCCAGAGATCAAGTCATCGCAGTCATCGCAAGATCGCCTCTGAAGTCTCGCTGCACAGCTCCACCACGGCTCCCCGGAGCTTGGACCAACTGACGGTCTCGGCCGTGGCCTCCACGGTCGGGCCGAGGGCCACGAAGGGCCCCACGCAGGTGGCCAACTTTTGCGCGCGTGCCATGCCTTGGTGAAGGGAGTTGGTCAGAAATTGGGATGTAACTGATGTAACTCAAGAAAAAATCGAATTTGATGAAAATCGAAGAGAAATCGAACTTGCCTGCAGATTTTCCCTTTAATCAGTTTCGTGGTGGTTGACTTGGGCAGTTAGGAATTGGAAGGCCCAGGTTCGCTTGTAGACGTATAGATTTTTTTGGCCAGTCACATTGGGAGCAAATTCTCTTTCAAGCAAGGTACTTCGCATCAGGAGTTGAAATTCAAAGGAACCCCCGCTTTTTTTCCCCCACGGATGGTGACACATGGTGACTCTCCATCGCTGCCTCTCCCCCGCCTTGACAGCGAGGACACACAAAGACGCGCACGTCGTCCCAGAGGCTGCTGCAACGCTGGCAGGAACACAGGAAGTCTTTGGTCACCTGCATCCCACTGACCCACCTGATCCCCTATGGGATGGGTATTATTTTCCCATAATGATACTGACGACGACGGCGACGACGAGGCGACGACGACGACGACGACGGCCACAACCACAATCACAACCACAACAACAACAACCACCACCACCACCACCACAACAACAACAACAACAATCATAAGAGGGAATTGCTACGGGGCTCATAATCCCCCAATTAGCTAGTATAATTATAATTCACTGTGATAACCAATCAACCAACGTATTTTTACTAGCTCAAGTAGACCTTTGGATCTATGTTGGCACATGAGTCATGACGGAAGTGATGAGTAATATGAGTGGGTTGCTATGAAACCTATTGATCCATTGGAAGGGGTCTTGTGGTTCAGGTTCCCTGTTGCCAGCATCACTCCAGCGGCCCAAAAGGGGCTTCTGGGATCACTTGGAAAACCATCTACATCTTAAAACTCCAAACTGCATGAGACTGGGTAAAGCGTTATCACAGTTGCAGCCATTCCTTTGCCACTGAGCTGACTCTTTTCAAATACCCAACAGACATCTCCTTCAAACAAGGAAAACCGCCTGGCGCCTGCAAGCGTCGCTGCCGCTCCAGAGAAGGAAGGCACAAATCTCCAGCACCCAAATATGAGATCGTCACTTCCTCCCCCTGGCCAAAAGCCACTTGATGAGAAGATGAACTCGGCGAACATCGCACGCAAACATCTCCCAACCGTAACCATCATCCACTTTTTATGTATGAATCAAAAGTTCAGGAACATTCTCATGAAACTTGTGATGTTTTCATCAGTTCTTCATCATGTCAAAACGAACCTGAAATGTCCTTATCTCCGAAACAATATGCCTAATATCTCCAAATATGCCATTTCTCTCCCCCTTTTTGTATCATTTCTATAGCATTTTTGGGTAGTCAGGACTCCCAATCTTTCGGTCCACGCCTCCGAGATGTCCTGCCCAGCTCGGAGCTCGATCTTCTCTCCATGGAGGCTCCAGAAGGCGTTGGGCGAACAGTCGTGGGAACCTCGGCGGCCCGTTTCGGCGCTTTCGGGGGGGCAGTTCTGGGCGTAACAAAACAACGGAGGACCAACGGTCCAACGGTGGTCCTAGTAGGAGTTCAAACGGTTCCATCCTTTGGGGGAAATTTACGATGGAATTGAAGAATTTGATGAGATTGTGGGTTTGCCTAAAAATTGGGGGTTAACTGGGTTAACATGGGATATATTGTTTGAAACCAACCGTTATATCGGGATATGATATAAGGGATGGTTGGTGGATTGCTTTTTGGCAGGAAATCGACATGGTTTGCTATTGTTTGTCCTTCATAGATATAGGGATGTTCCTTTTGACGTTTCAATTCTGGGAACCATGGGATTTTTGACCACTTGTTTGATTCGGCCGCCCTGAGCGGTCCCATAGTAGGGCCAAAGTGAATCAGAGAGATGAGTTTGGGGTTGTGAATCAACTAAAATGGATACAGCATGTCCGACAATCATGGGGATATGAACCAGCAAGAACGGAGGGCTGTACCAAGAACCAACAAACGGTTGGTGCCTGATCCACCAGCTGAAAAATATGAAGTCAATTGAGAATCATCATCCCAGGCTGATGGAAAATGATGGAAAATAAAATATGTCCTTGATCCCAAGGAAACATAAGGAAACCACAAAATTAAATTATTGTTTGATGATTTGGGGTCTTAAGTTTTAAAGTTCTTAAGCATTCAATATGTTGATACCCAAAGGACTTGACCCTTGGGTCCCTGGACCATCGCATGAAGTTGGGGCCCGTTGCGGCCCCAAAAAAGCGCCCAGCGGCACATGGCCATCAAGAGTGGAAGGACCAGTTGATCATCACTTCCTGGCCCAATGTGAGGCTAAGACTGAACCAAATCAAATAGAACAAATCGACAAACAGTGACAAACAACAAAAAAAATGGCAAAAGGTCATCCACCAATCCCAGTATCTCAATGAGTTGAAGATCCAAATCTGCAGCAAGTCTTCCATCATTGCCTCCAGCCCTTCATCCATGCCCAGTGCCTCCAACACGGCTCGCACATCCTCGCCCGCCTCGCCCTTCGGTCGATGCAGCTGTAGAGCCAGGCTTTGATCCTCCTCGGAGAGGCTGAGACTCTGCAAGGCAGCCCAATAGAAGAGCCCTGGATAGCGGTAGCTGCAGTCCCAACTGCCTCACAAGTTTGGCTTGTCAACTTGTGTCTTTTGGGTTTGAAAAAAAAATGCAGTTGACAAAAGTAAACGCCAGCAAAAAGAGGGGGGTTGAAAGCTTTCGACCCTTTTGGTCGCAGCGCACAGTTGGTCACTGGCTTTTCACGGCCTTCCATGTCCAAAATCACCTGGCACTCCACGGATGCCTCTGGCTGAACCGCCAAAAGGGGCCTTTCCCACATCAGCAGATCCCCTTCTGCGAAGAATTTTGAGGCCACCAGGATCCGGCCCTTGATGCCATGCTGCTGCACCACCACATGCTGAGACCTGCTGACAGTGTCAGGCCTCAGCCTCAACTCTGCGTCCATGGCGCTAGCATCAAATGAAAGCTAGGACAGCTAGGAGCTGAAAAGTTGGGGGATTGGGACTGGGATATAATTGGGATCAAGTTGAGATATCATAGATATATAAATATTACATATATATATATATATTTATAGTTAATGTTGGGATATGTGTTGAGAATATTGGGGTATATAATCATAATTTATCATGAGTATTGAGAGGCAGGCAGCAAGCAGCAAGCTGCCTGCAAAGCTCGATCCATACCATACACCTCACCAATCACCACAAGATAAAGCCACCCAACACACAACAGCCTGGGTGTCGGACGCACCACTCTCTTGCCTTCTTGTTGGCTCAACTCCTAAGGGAAAGTTGAGCGGGATCCTGCAAATCTGCCACCAAGTCTGTGTCAGAAAGAAACCCTTGGCACCAATCCCTGAATTGCCCTGAATCATGCATCACGACGAATCACAATTGATTTTGGGGACAAAATCCTCAAATCAGAAATCATCACCACCTCCCCGGCCTGCTCCACGCTTTTCGCCAGGGAGTGAAGCCCAGCATCTTCGCCCACTTCCCAACGTCCAGCCATTTCCTTCACAGTGCTGAGGAACTTTCCAGGTGGAATTCCTGCACCTGGGCGATTCCGTTCCATCGACCAAAACTATCGATGGGTCAAGACATGTCAAGACCTATACCAACTGTTGAGGGAGGTGAACATCCGGCGAACCAGCTACTGTATTTTGATCTTCGCTGGGTACCAGGTTTTGATCCACACAACTCCCATCACAAAGACAGAAAAGGATGGCAAATGGTGTGGACATGCATCACAAACGCAGCTAGATCCTCATGCCCAACAAGATCCAACAAGGGATTGTGGCTCAGACTGATCCAAAAGTTTCATAAAGTTTCATAAAGTTTCAAGACTTGGATCATTAAATAGTCATTAAATCAATTTATTATATTTATTACTTCAAAAGGATGGATCAGTCTGAGATTTTCCAGCCATTTGGGCCGCACCTGGCAACTTCAAGGCCTCCAAGATGCCATTGGCAATCTGCGGGCTGTAGCCACCTCTTCGAAATTGATTTGATGGAGAAAATCATCCATTGGTTGATAATCTCCTCATTGAAACTGATTTTCAGGCTCAATTGTTTGCAAGCCTTTCAAAGATTGCCATGGCAAATTCAGTCAGAAACACCTACCTGATAGTTTTTGGTCCGAACTCTTGCTGCAATTCAAAAGTATAGCACTTTGTGAAGTGAATTGTTGTTAAACAAACAAAAAGAAACTTCATATCTGAGACTTGGATCGAAATTTGACAGGTGAGGACCCATGGTTTGTTAGAAACTCTGAAACCCATGGTAAATCCCATGGTAAATCCGCTTCCAATTCTCGTCGATCCGAAAGCTCTGCCAAGGCCCCCAGCGTTCAAGCACGAATGCCCTAGCCTCCTCCTGGTCCTCTTGATACGGACCTCGGCGGACTGGAACACCGTTGGGATTCGTAAAAATATTGGAAAATATTGGTGAAAATATCGAAAAATTGTGAATATGAAAAATTTATTGGGAATGATTATCACATCAATCGCTCCCCTATTGATTGTCAAATACTGGAGGGGATTGTGGATTAGACTACATGTGGCAAACTGGCAAACTGGGGCCTGCAATACAAAGACAAGCATTGCAAGAGGGGCGCACAAACCCAGCCCAAGCCCTCATGAGACTTAAAAATGCCCAAGTTCTTGTGAAACCCACTTTTGGCGGCAAACCAAAACCTCAAAAGAGTCTCAATGCCTGAACACACCAGAGTGACTCACAGTGACTCCCAAAGCTGTGAAGATTTGACACGAAATTTAGACATAGGGATGCCTCAAAAATTGGACCCAAAAAAAACATATGCTATCCTCACGTTTTTCCCATGAAAGCAGCTGTAACTTCGGGGTAAATCCATGGAGACCTACAGAACTCCATCCCCAAACGCCTCTTGGAGGTCCACTCGTTGCGAACCTGCATAACTTGTCAAATCGGTTCCATTGAAGCGTGGTTGAAAATGTAGACGGAAAAAGAGAGCATGGCGAAAAATTAAAGCCGTCATACAGGATATGGATATATAATAATGATCTATAAATATATATATATAATACAGGTTCGATTTCACACCCGATATTAGTTTAAACTGCACCTGATTGCTGGAGAACATCGGAGCAGTCTGCCGCTTCGCTGAGCCTGAAAACCAATTTGAATCCAGTTTGTTTACCGCTATGCCGCTATGCAAATTGAACCAAAACCTCTCTGCATGTAGCCGTTTCAACTTAAAATCAGGTTTGACTCAGAAACACTTCGATTTCTGATAAATTGGGCATTGAGCTACCGCGAATGTTGAAGTCTTTGGATGAGCAAATTCATCACGGGGCTGAAAAAGCGTTGATTAGTTTGCGAAGTCCATTGAGCATCCCTAGGACAAGCAGTTCTTGGACACTTTTTGTTACGAAACCATGAACTGACCATGGCAAATTGCAATTCAATCCACAAGAATTATTTTGGCAGGATTAATATTCCAGTATTTGCAAACCGAAGAGTGCTGTTTAATCGTTCCAAAATCCGGAAATACTCTGAATTTCTGATGCTCCGTACCGAGACGAATGCGCGCGAACCAACAAGGCGCCATGGCAACGTCCGGAAAAATGTCAGCTGCATTGCGAGTCAAGGCTAAGATGATATCAACGCCCTCTCATGTACGGTTGTTGGGTCAAGACCTCGATGTCCAGCATGTTCTGAACACAATCCAGAATGACTTGATAATGTATGTTAATTTTGCAAGGACCGACATATAGAGCAAAAAAAAAGAGACGTGTGTTCAATTTGGCTGAGTTGGTGCTAGATGCACAAATCATACATGTTGGAAATTCCAACGACAATTTTGCAAATGTTCAAGGCCAGAACAGAATGTTTTGTTCAGAACCTGAAACAGCTGACCCAGAAATCGGAAACCAAAACTCGAATCACCAAAATATTCGAAACGATACAAGTGTTTGCTTGGTTTATCACCTGGGATCTTGCATGTTGCGTGCAATTTTTGAGGGTTCACCCTCCTTTTTAAAGGTGGTGGCTGCACAAGCACTCCCGCGGCAGTAGTGATGTCTTTGGGATGGTGACCGCCTCGATGATTTTTTCCTGCTGTCTGTAGTCAAGTAAGAGTTTCCTGCAACGGGGGCTCCAAATCTCTTGGTTTCCTCATTAAAACTTACCAAATTTGGATTTTGGATGATTCTTGGGTCCCCCATTTGAGGAAACCCTCAAGTGCCAATCATGTAGCTTAGAACTTTGCCTCGTACATTATCGATCGCGAGTTTGTCCTGCAAGGGAACTCGCATTGCAGTGCGGCTCTCCACGGCAAATTTTCCCAAATGGTACAGCAGGTTCTCCGAGGTATTCTCACACTTCTCAAAAGATTGCATGCGAACTCAGAAATTTCCGGTCAATCAAACCAAACAAATCTGGAATCCGATGTTTAGAAATGTCATTGACAAGTGCGAATCCGTTTTTTTTGCAGTTTTGAATGAGGTTTTATCACCATTGCTCGTTCGGGTCCTGATCAAGGGTATATAAGCAAACAGCCCGAAATCAACCTGAAGATTTTAAGGGCAGTATGGTAACACCGCAATACCTAAGTATCTCGCAGAATACCTGTCCAAAAATAAAGCCAACGTCAAACTGTGAATTGAAACCATCATCCCCTCTTTGCCTTCACAAAGCATATCCATCGCAAATTTGCAGCAAGTGAAACCTCTAGAAAATTGCACAAATTTGAAACCACCAACTGCTATCAAGCAGAACAACAAAACATTCGACTGGTGGTATCAGAAGGTTTTACATTGAACATCACACAAAAACATCCAACTGTGACACTATCCACGACTTCAGTTTTTCGTCCCTGGGAAAATTGCAGCACGCCTCGTAGCCATGCGTAGCCATGGAGATATGGCAACACGTTTTGAAAGGAGTGGAGTCCATTCAGAAACAAAGGGTCAGTTATTTGGTCAATTGAAGGCCAGTAACTTCGACTTTATTTCATCAAAGTCATCAAAGTCATCAAAGTCAAATCTCTTGCATGTGCCCTTCAGCCTAAAGACTTGCCATCATGGGACCCACTGAAACCAAGAGCCATTTTGCAGAAGCAAAGTGGGATTGCGCAGATGAAACCAGTTGGCAGCACATTCAATTCTTTGGCAGGTCATCACTGGCAGGGTTGTGCATCACGCGCAGGCATTGGGCGCAAGCGACAACGGGCTTGGCGCAAAGGCGTGAAACACAAGTCCAAATGACAAAATGACAATCATCGAATCGTAAACCCAGTTCGGAGATGTTCGGAGTCATTTTGACCTCCCCTACATTTTTTCCCGGTGAAAGTATGTTAACGCCGAAATTGCCAGTGACATGCATTTTGAAGCCGCTGCAAACAATCCATGTCGTTTTTGCCAGGATTGTGAATCCAGTGACCAAATCCCCACTGGAAAACCATGACCACTGTGGCTACAATGCTACCGTGGACATGAAAATCATTTGGATTTATGGATGTTTATCAACTTCATCCCACCAAAATATGGCATGACGGAATTTGACAAATAAAATTTTGTCGTCAATATGATGCTTTTCATGTTGGGGCTCAATTTTGAACCAAATCTATTTGATGCCTGGTGAGCGCTTGAAACCTGGTGCACAATAATGTCTACGTGCAGCGCGGGTCGGACGCGTCCAAACTGCACTTCAATTGTTGTCCTCGTCATTGATGAGACCATCTGATATCTGCACAATCTGCTTCTGCTCGTTGACCTGGAGCACAACTGAATGGCTCAGGTGGCATACACCCAATCGTATGCATTTTGGGTTGAATATATAAGAACTGGGCTCTAAGCCGCTCCCGTCATTACAGCCACACAGCACATCAAAGCACTTAGATAGCAACGAAATATCTGAAATGGTAGCAATAAAGTCACAAAACACTGATGACCCCAAGTTTTGTGCCTTCGAAGACCTCGATTTGCGAATAGCCTGCACGATTGGATGAATGGATGGATGAAAGGTGTACATGCATGTACCTATCTCCCCGCCTGGTATGGTTGATAAAACATGCGGGCCGTCACTCATAGCTGTGCCTGCAGTTGTACATGCGAGTTTTTTCGGACACTTCAACAAGGCCGACGTCGCACATCTTCGGAGCCCCAAGCTAATGGCCAAAATGATTGCACTCGCTGACGCGTTTCTCATGCACTTTGCCGGTTAAAAGAAGCTCGCAAAGGATTGTTTGCGATCTTGAGGCTGCAAATAATAGCCCCGCAATTCATTCAAAGGTGATGACACAACCCATGCTGTCACAACAGTGGCATACATGCTCACAACCCTGCCCATGACGGTGCTCCCAAGAGTAGGGTGCAAATTGGTGAGGAGAACCAATACTTTTTTGCGAACGCTGCCGTAAATGATGTCTCACAATACGGTTGGCCCAAACGGATAGAGATTCTTTGACGTTGGCAAGTTCAACTTTCGGAAGCGGTGACCGGCAGGGTCACAAAAAAAATCGATCCCACAGCCAGTCTTGCGGTCGGAAGATGAAAGTTTTGTTTTCTGATACTGGCAAATATGTTGTTTTTCAAAATGTTCATGAAATTCGTCGCCAGGGTGATCTGCAAGAACTTTGTGATCTTCATGGGATCCAAAGTTTTTACAGCCTCCATCAGGGAAAGTCGTTCCCAGCATGTTGTTCACCACAGGCTCTGTCACCGCACTCAGCAAAGCTGCAACCACAGCACCGACTGCTCGGTGTGCAGCCATGGCCATCAACAAGTCAGTGTTCTCAAATGGAAAAAAAACATCATCAAACGTTGCAATGAGTCAAAGGTTGTTTTGAGATGCTCGAATGTATCGTGCGGAGTGTGGAAGAATCGTTCAGTTCAAGCCAGTACTGCAAACATGAAACGGTTTGTTCATGAAAATTTCGAACACGAAACTGACTCACTCATGCACCAACATACTACGAGTTGAACGAACTTTGATCAAGCACCCGCTTGGCCGCATGCACTGAAGAAATATGCATGCAGCACAACAGTTTTGGATGTTTTTAGTTACCTAGTTACTTTAGTTGAACAAAGTTGAAAGGCAAGTTCGATATTTTCATCGATGTCTGGAAACCATAGTTCGCAATTGGAATGGATGGAAATCACCACTCCCCAGCTCTTGTGGCCACGCAACTGGTTTTGACATGTGGTATGTCAATTTTTTTGGGATTCCAGGACCTGGGGCACTATAGATCACGGGCGGTTGCTTTAACCGGGTGTATTTTACCCCAAGGTTCCGTTGCTAAACTGCGGGGCTGCTACCACCTACCTCCGAACCCATATTGTTTCCCTTTATGGAGCTGACATTGCAAATTCAAACAAAGTGAAAGGAGTAACAAAACAACCACTATTGTCAACATTTTCCAACACCTTTGGCATGAACATGATCCATGTTCAAATCAAGGTTGAATTGAACCAATGCTGGTCATTTCAAAGTTTGGCACAGGCAACTAACTCCACCATGCAATCCTGCCAAGACACTAGTGAATTGTCTCAAGTGACTATTCTTGGTTAATCGGTTGGCATGTTGAGGTATCGACGCCAGATACACATGTATGTACCAGTAGTACCGCACAAGGCGGTGGCGGAAGTTTCAAAAATAGGAAACCTATAGGAGCGTTTGGTTGTTGTAAATCCGGGATGGCAGAGCAAATCCACAGATGGACCGAAAGGTTCTTGAGGTCTCTTTTTTTTCTCTCTCTTGTTCTGACTATCTATCTATCTATCTATCTATCTATCTATCTATCTATCTATCTATCTATCTGTCTAGCCTCTATCTATCTATCTATCTATCTATCTATCTATCCATCGATCTATCTATCTATCTATCTATCTGTCTAGCCTCTATCTATCTATCGTTCTTTCTTTCTTTCTTCCTTTCTTTCTTTCTTTCTTTTTTTCTTTCTTTCTTTCTTTCTTTCTTTTTTTCTTTCTTTCTTTCTTTCTTTCTTTCTTCCTTCCTTTCTTTCTTTCTTTCTTTCGTCCCTTCCTTCTTTCTTTCTTTCTTTCTTTCTTTCTTTTTTTCTTTCTTTCTTTCTTTCTGTCTGTCTGTCTGTCTGTCTGTCTTTCTTTCTTTCTTTCTTTCTTTCTTTCTTTCTTTCTTTCTTTCTTTCTTTCTTTCTTTCTTTCTTTCATCTATCTATTGCTCAAAACTGTCTCTCTATCTATCTGTCTATCGGTCTATCTATCTGTCTAGGTACCTATCTATCTATCTATCTATCTATCTTTCTTTCTTTCTGTCTAGGCATCTATCTATCTATCTATCTATCTATCTATCTATCTATCTATCTATCTATCTATCCATTCATCCATCTATCTATCTATCTGTCTATCTCTCTATGTATCAATCTATGTATCGATCAATCTATCTATGTATCTATCTGTCTTTCTAGCCATCTATCTATCTATCTACCTACCTATCTATCTATCTATTTATCTATTTATCTATTTATCTATCTATCTATCTATCTATCTATCTCTCATCTACCCAGCTGGCCTCTCTCTCTCTCTTTCATCTAATTACCTATTTATCTATCTATATACCTATCTATCTGGCTATCTATCTATCTATCTATCTATCTG